CACTGGAATTCGTAACTAGGTCACTTGACTTTATCATTCAGGAAATGGACAAGTAGTTGCGTGCATATATGCGGTCGATCCAGATATTATCCACGACAGGTTTCTATGGAAATACGCAATAACTCGTGGTATCAATAATGAGATGACGTATCGCGTGCATAGGGACAGTGGCATGATGCACACGGGTTTCTGTTATGACTGCATGCATCAAGGTTTGTTTGTAATGTGGGTGTGATGTTTTCCGAATAATAGGAAACGACATCCTTGTGAAAAAACACCGAATCATTTTGTAACCAGCAAATTAATGTGTAATTTTTAGAATATTTTCGTTTAATTTAAGTTTTAATTTGTTCAGAAAACAACATAAAACAGGGACAAGAGTAGGACAACCTTGTAATATGCCTATTTCATCGTCCAGACAGATTTGAGTAAGACGATAACATATACTGCTTGAACTTTCGAAGTTTGTTTCCCAAAGCACTCTACGATCTGTTTCTAATTCAAAATATTCAGGCTTCCGAGAAACAGCCATTGCGCTTTTCAATACCGCAGTATTGTTGTCTTGTGTTAATGAGGTGTCGTCACAACCGGATAGGATGTGAGTTACGTCACGGCTAGGAAACCGTGAAGTACGCAGCTGCGGACACCGATGGCCTACTCAGTATTACAAAATATATAACAATATATGTAGTAATACTCCACTAACCATGACGACAGCCTGTCGGGAGGATCAGTTACACTGTCTGATCGATAAAAGTAATATATTTTAAGTGTAAATGTTTCTATCAGAACAATACAGTTTCAAGTAAGTGAGTGTGTTTTGTTTTATGCCACGTTTAACAACATTCCAGCAATATCACGGCGAGAGACACCAGATATGGACTTCACAGATTGTACACATGTAGCGAACACTTTAACCACTAGGTTACCCCACCGCCCTTTAAACGAAGTGCAGCACGGAGGCACAGAAGCGTAACCCGAAAAGAACCAAGATAAGATTATAATATAAAGAAGATATGAAATAATAATTGGCCGTTCTTTTTAAAAGTTCCATAAATTAGTTTTGTTGCTGAAAGACGTCAGAATCCGTCATCACCATCAGATGACTAAATCCCTTAGACATTTCCGACTGGAAAAATACGTTTGTCTCATATCCCGAAGAGCTGCTGATGTAAGGTGCGACCAGGGAGACTGTATAACGTTAGTAGATTAAATCCCTGGTGCGACATATGAGGACGGTTAGGTTGAAGTGGCAGTGGATCCTGGAAGAGTTAGCACTTACAGATGATATGTATAACAAATACTCGTCTGTATGTGTTTACAGCCACGTACCATTTACATATACATTGTATATTACTCAAATAGAAAATATAATGATCTGTTATATAGCAAGCGCTTCGCTTACAGAGTGATCTGGTATTATTCAGGGCTGGAAATAACTTTAAACTTGCTAGTGTACTCCAGTACAGTGGCACAAGTAAAATCACTTGCCCTGATAATTTTTCCACTATACTGGCCGATTTTCTTGTTGACGTTTAAAATAAACAACACAATTAACACTGGAAAGTCAACTGGACACCGGTACAGTGTGATATACAAATTTGCTTGCCCGACAGAAAAAAACACCTGACTCCGGCGTCGGGAAATTGGTTATTTCCACCCCTGAATTATGATATTTGAGTAGGTAAGCGACCGATGACTTTATATACACTTGGCAGTTCTTCTGTCTATGAAATAATACGCATTAAATTCACAAGACGTATACCCTGTGTCTTCCCCGAAATGATAATAGACTGAACCCGTCTTAACAAGTTTATTTACCGTCACGCACGCTATCTAACTCACGAAGGTTGACTCACTCACGAAGCTGGCCTTTATTACAAACAGGCTTTGGCTGTTCTGAAAAACTAGACTTGTCGCATTGCTTGCTGCAAAGATCATTACAGCAATCTGTCACACTATCACATGTGGCGTCATTACTAAAGAACCCTGCTTTATACTACATATATGAAATGCTATGGTGATTGATGGTACACATCTGCGATTCAAATCAAGGCAATATGCATTGTACAGTACAACTAGAAACTATTGAGAATTTAAGATTGTATTTTATTTTATTTTCACTCATTACGTACGTATTAAATGTGAATATTAGCAGAACATAACTCCAGATTCAAAGACAGGTGAACAGTTAGTATTTTGTCAAGTCAACATGGGCAGCAATGCAGGCTTCAATGCCGCGGGGCATACTCCTGATCAAAGAAGTTAGAAAGTCGTGGTCCATGCTGTCCCAATATCGGAGCACCTCTTCTTTCATTTCAGCAATATTTGTCAGATTTCCTTCATAAGTCCCCAAACATTTTCTATTGGATTTAGGTCAGGGCTATAGCTTGGTCAATCTAATAATGTCATATTTTGGGTCCGAAACCAGGCCTGTGAATGCTTTGAACGATGTTTTGGGTCTTTGACCTGCTGGAAAATCCAAAAATGTCCATAGAACACGTGAGCAGATGGAAGTAAATGTCCCTCGAGAATATCTGTGTACCGCTCACTGTTCATATTCCCTTCAAATACACAGAGGGGCGTTGCCCCCAACACACATATGCCACCCCACACGTTAAATTTCGGACTGTACTTTGGGCGCTGATACAAAGGTTTTTCAGTGTATTAGGAAACAGCCACACAGAACTTTCATCTGAGAAAATCACATTGTCACAGTTAAAATTTCTATGCTGTAAGCAACAGTTCAACCTTCGCTCCTTTTGTTCAGGTTTCATGATCGGTGATGGAATTCCTCGACTTTTCTGCCAACCAATTGCATGCAGCTCAGTTCTAATTGTCTCTTACAGACATCCACAGTTCCTCTATCAATCATATCCAGCCTTAAGTTTTCTAAACTGCTTCGTTTGTTTTTAGAAACAAGAATACCAAGCCGCCTCCTGTCACCGACAGTCAATTTTCTGGGCCTAACTGCGCCTCCCTGGTGCTCAATGCCATATCCATTTGCAATATTTTTCAAAACACGATAAACAGTGGACAAAGGGATGCCTGTTCTACTTGAAATCACTTTAGCTGATCTGATGTCCTTGTTATAATACTCTAAAATCAACTTCCTCTTCTCTAAATCATGCATACTGAGGATCACTGAAAATGTCGTCCGCTAGCAAGTAAACAAAGGGGGATAACTCTTCACAAACTAATGAAAAAGGATTAACGGAGTTGTCTCTCTTGAATGAAACCAAGCACTTAATAGCTGGTCAAGGTTGTTTATACTAGCAATCCAATTAAACATATTCCTAAAATTCTCAATAATTTCTGGTCATACTATATTATGTATGTTAACGGGTCAGTCACTGTCGAATGACTGAGTGTTCGAGTTGTAATGTTGTGTTTGCAATTCAGTACTGTTAGAACAGCAGTGAGGTGATGATCAGTTATCGGGTCTCGCCATAGAAACTAGTGGTTAATAGTATGAGCAAATAGAGATACTTTTTAAACATTTTCCTGCTATTTTTTCATTTCACAAAACACTGTTCCCTGTTGCGACTGTTCTAAACATGGTCAGAAGTCATTTTGATCAATTAACCCGTCTGGTTCGTAACTTAATTGTGAATTGACGTGTTGACTTGATTGGTTACAGGGGTGGATATGGTTAACTTTGTGAGCACCCGGTGTTATTTGGCTTTAGCTATGACAAAGGTCTTGATGCAAATCAGACATATTCCGTGAAAATACCACAGCATATAATACTCTATAGTTCGCACCCTATAAGCTTAATTCGAAATAGAAATCAATGATACCATTTTAACTGTTTATAATACATGAAATATCAGTAACAAACGTACTGCTATTACTCATATATAAGAATTTAATGAAATGTATATTGGAGAAGGCCTCGTACACGTGTCACTTGTGTTTAATCAATTTGCTTCTTCGCAATAAGATATGGTTAAAAATAATTCTACGTGTACACACATTTTGTACTAGTGGTCCAAATGTCGCAAATTCCTTACAGAAGCATCGATGGCAGATTTGCACCTTCTTTTACGAAAACATGACATGACTCTCTTTATATCAACATCGTCAACACAGAACAATATAGTGGAATGTGATGTGATATAAGAACAATTTCGTCCAGTTTCAGCTTGTTTGATCACTGGTACATTTCTACGCGAATATAGGATGATTCCAAACGTTTACATTCGGTTGTCATGTTGATCGGGGAATCCGCTATAAGTAAAGACACACCTTCTCTTTCTGAAAATGCAAATTGTATCACGTGTTTCTCAATTTTGAGGCTAATGAATGCCCCAAAACGCATAAACGATGTTTAGTTTTGACACAAGTCACGGACCGTTTTGTTTCTTTGTATGTTGTTTAAGGCAAAACCCAGCAATATTCTAGCTGTGTGTCGATGATCTTTATATAATCTGGACCAGGTAATAACCGGACTTAACTTACTACTTATTTCAGGAAACTGTCTGTAACGTTGATGAAACCCTCGTTGATTAGTTATATTATTTATTTCCAAGGAAATCAATCGACCCACTGGTACACAAAGATCATCAGCTGTGCACACCTGTGTCGGATAATCGATCAATAACGTCCTAGGTGACGTCAGCCTCTGTTTGATCAACAATACTTGATTATTAACGAAGATCAGTAGAAGTATATAAATACAGATTCACCCCTTAAATAGACCAGTTCTACCAGTGTCGATCCACCGATCAAAATAAACAAGCGCAAGCCGTAAGAGCTTTTGGTTGCTCAAATTTGATCGTATAATAAAACAAACAGTATATAAAACATATTTCATACACAATATATGAACTGATTGGGACACGACGAACCAGTGAGTGTGACGTTTATAACAGCATCGAGTTTCAAAAACTAACAAACGTTTCAAAGCGCTGCGCTGGTAAGCCACGCCGAGTTGTGACCGCTGACAGCGGTAGAGTTCGCGGGCCCGAGTTCGCCAGGTGATTCGCTGCGTCATCACAGGAGCGCTCAGTCACAGCGGACGTGTGTGTGTGACTGGGCCCTTGAGTCAAGAGCCGAGCCAGCGGAGGGGAAACAGGACGGGGTATGTGAAGCGGGTAGACCACTCGGGCATGACTGATATCATATCCCCCAATCACAAACAATCTCCGTATGAAGCTGTCGGTATGACGTGTTTGACTAATAATACATGGCCGGTATCACGAGGAGGTTTTGTGTATAGGTTGAGCGTATATAAATTCAGCTGAGGAGGACGACAGACAGTTCAAACTTGGAATTAGAGAGAAATACACTGTTTGTTTAAGAAACGTTAACAAAGAACTTGACCATGCGGACATTCGTGTGTTACTTTGTCCTGTCGGTGTGTGTCCACTTAGTGTCCGGCAAGAAAGGTAAGAATTTTCTGTACTTTTATAATTCATATTATGTATAAATGCTATTTATGTAATAGTATGTACAATGATATTTATGTATAAATGATAAAATGGAATAAATATATCACTTATACATAAAATGAATTATGTATAAATGATGTTTTTTTATTATTTCATTTTATGACAGTTTTCAGTAGTGTTTTTAAAACATTAGTATTAACACACTTTTATTTCAGCGATATTATATAAACATAATTTGAAGTAATTACATGTATGTGTTAAAACGGGATATGCTGTATCGTTGTCAGTTAGGTGTTAAACAGTGTGTCGAACATGAGGATATGATGTGATAGGATGCCAGCTAATTCTACATAACCCAACCCATCTGCTATTATGTCATTGCAATGTCACACATAGTCTATATACGAATGATACCAAATACCATGAAATACATCTTTCCAATATATTTAATTCTTTATCTACATTCCATCCCATGTCATCAATATAACGTGATATATGCCATTCACATGGCACTGAACATCTGGTGCGGTATTCTCCATCGTTGCGTTAACACTCTAGTTAATCAATAAGGCGTAGGTCCAGAGAAGGCAGTATCGCAGCGACCAAAACAACAAACGAATGTCAGTTGCTGTTATAATTCCACGGAAGGAATTCGTTACAACGCGACACGAGTTGCCGTACCTTTGTTTTCAAAACGTTACGTAACGCCCTCCTCAGAGCTTCGCCCACTGCAGTCTCGTACAGTTGCTACAGCACCCCACGTTTTGGTCTAGCCAAGTCATCGCGTTATCAACTGTCATGAACTCGTAACTACAAGACGTCAATTATGGGGTTCAGTATAACATGCTTCACTTGGAGCAGTTTCGTGTCGTAAAGGTCTTGTCAGTGAAATTACGTATGTGTACGTTCATGAGTCATACGTTTAATGCAAAGTCCATTTTTCCCCGTCACCTATAAACCATTACAAGCACCCAGTACTAGAAAACCTCTGCTATCAATTACATATTATCTCGATCAATGACAGGAAAGTTTACACAACGATGATTCTTCTTGAAATGTATGCAATGGTAACAACAAATGCTATGATCATGATAAGAGATAACATTATATGATCAAATAGTGAGAGACTGACTGACTGAGTTTGGTTTTACGCCGCTTTTAGCAATATTCCAGCAACATCACGGCGGGGGACACCAGAAATGGGCTTAACACATTGTACTCATGTGGGGATTCGAACCCGGGTCTTCGGCGTGACGAGCCAACGCTTTAACCATTAGGCTACCCAACTGCCCCAAATAGTGAGAGAAGGAACGAATAATTAATTTACCACCAGGTCCCGATCTTCTGACATAATCAGCCACCGTTGGAAGTCAATTGATTACCACAATGTTCTTCCAGACAAGGAACCCATAACAAACCCACCGAGGCATGGCCGTAATCGATGTCCATATTCATTATACTCAATAACATTCGTTTATCCTGTTTAAACATGTCTCCGTGTTAAACGACGTTCGTTACATCAAGCTTCGTAACAATCACATTTAATACTCCTAACGTGTTCATACTCAACGTATTATCAAATCGTAATCATGGTAATAATACCAGAATATCAAACCTGAACTGTAGCAAATGTCTATGAGAACCACGCACTTGTAACCGGGATGTTTTGTCCCATTTACTTTAACACTTGATTATTTGTCCGAACACTTGTCATTGATGTTTCTCCTTGAGCGGTAACCGAGGGCAGGTGTATGTACGTTGTGCCTGTAGGTAACTAGGAAAGAGGTCAAGCGTTTATTGAAGCAGTTCGAGCGGACAGCCTTGGGCGTACATTTAGGTTAAAATGACCACCGCGAAAAGACTCATTATTGAATATATATTCGTCTTTACTGTATTGAATGTATGACATTTATATCACCATGTTGAATTTACCATGGAGGTGTTATATTATATACAATGATTGCTTAAAACCTTTTGTGATTCATAGTCGTTATTAATCATGGGACACCATCCATCGTATTTATGCAGTTAACAATTAAAATACCTCAGTAATATTTGATGTGAATATGTTCTTACGATGTGGTGCAATGGTCATAAACATTATTTCTTTGCGATTCATCTAAAATAGTGTTAAAGAAGAGTGTTGAATATATTGAAGACAGGACATATTCGTTTTAATCAACTGCGAATGGTGTGGACTGGAAATTGTATTACATCTTAAAATGCGTACATCGGTATTTCGAGTGCTGTCAGTGTCAGATATGTTAAACTTGATATTGGCGTTAAACTGGTAAGAGGGGCGGTTGGGTAGCCCAGTGGTTAAAGCGTTCGCTTGTCACGCCGAAGATCCGGGTTCGATTCCCCACATGGGTGTAATGTGTTAAGCCCATTTCTGGTTCCCCCACCTTGACATTGCTGGAATACTGCTAAAAGCGGCGTAAGACTAAACTCACTCACTCACTGAACTGGTAAGGCTCAGACCTTCGTCCTCATTAAGCACCTTGTGCCCATGTGGGGAATCGAACCTGAGTCTTCGGCGTGACGAGCGAACGCTTAAACCACCTGGCTACCCCACCGCCCCTCATATTTAACAGCCACGTACCAAAATGTATGATATTTTGTTTGACATCGCATGTAGCAGTATTTACAGACGTGAATGCGTTTTTACAGGAACATACATGACGAAATGATTTGGTCAAAATTGAAGCGTGAGAAACTCGTCTTTCGCCAGACGAGGAAGTACATTGCGAGGACCCTTGACCTCTAGTCCTCATGTTCTTGTGACTGGCCACCTTTCATCTGAGGTCAGGGCATACTTACCTGGGAACCTAACCAGGAAACGCCGCGCGCACAAAATCAATTATAAGGCCCAAACACTACCTGTCAATATGTATCATAATCACGTAATGTACATGTACTTGTGAAGATGGGATCGCCCTACAGATTGATGTGTCAGCTGAACTTTGCAAAATGGTTAATTGCAATTTAGTAAGGAATCGACAGGATAAACACCTCAATGTGGTAATTAACATAATACGAACTTTAACCTGAATACACACCACTAATGTAAAATGCATGTCTTGCAACTAATTTTACATTCAGGCGATTTTGTTTTACATTATTTGAACCCGAACGATATTGAAAACGTATACGATTAGAAATATATCTAAAGTGATATCTTAAATTATGAGATGTAGTAAAAGTGCCACACAGACTTTTTAATAATAATATACAATGAAATGTATCTTGAATAACATAAAGACATGTGGCATGTGTTAGTTCATTAAAGACATAATAAATTCTTAATTTATGACCATCAACTGCTTGAAAGGAAACAGGTCTCTGTCATTTACATGAAGATTCCTCCGCAGTCATATAAACATACCATGCAAGTAGACAGCCTTGTCTCACACATGTTCATATAAAACGGTATTAACACTTGTCATGACCAGTATTACTGCAACATGAAGGACGCTTAGCCACACCTGTTATGTATCCCCTGGGTCGTTCGTAACTCTTAAGCGCATACAAGCGTGAACCAGATAAAGATTTTACCTGAGGGGAACGGTAACTAATGTAGCTAAAGGAATTATTATATAATATCGTCAGTGCTACAAGGTGTTATTGGGGATATGTTGTGACGGGTGTTAAAAAGTATGTTACTGTAGTTTGTTGTAGCCGGGGCACCAGACGTTAAATGGAAAAATATCATTTTCCTTTTCACTACCCCATTCACTTCGCGTATGTCATACATACAGGGAGACACTTCTATCCTCTGTAATACAGTGGAGAAGAATACAACACTATCTTGAATTGAATTGTCAAAGGGGAGTACTAAAAATAAAGTCTTTTCGAGTTATGTAATACATTGTATAAGTGACTAACAATTCCTTGTTCATTGCAATGTTTCTTCAATATGTTTACACGAGAGTGTAGTGAATAGATATTGTCCAGGTGAGATTAATCTTTCATATCCAATACTGATCCAACACGTACTAAAGTTTAACAAACGTTTATGATAAGTATAAATAACCTGTGAATAAAACACTTATCATATGACGTCAGACTTCACAACTAAGTCATAGAAAACGTACCTAATAGATAGCACTTAGTTCTCCCTAAATTGAAATCAATGCTCATATATGGAAATAACGACACCTACGTAGACAATCCTTTGTTGTTCGCAGTAACCTAATTACAAACATTATCGCTCGTACTTCGTCATGACCGAGAAGACCACAATACTAGAAAGCTCAGTTGGTTGAATGTATACGTTAGTCATACTGTGTTGCACTGTCATTCATGCTGATCCACATACAGCTCCACACCGTTCGCTTATTATAGAAACGAAGGAAGGTATACTTGTGTAGGAATCACGCTGTTCTGCTTCACTGGACAAGCAGTACATGATTCAGGGCTGGTACTTTACAGTAGCCTTTGAAAGTGTTGTTACAAAGAAGTTTTACTTATAGGTTGATTGTTAGAAACATCTACTAGAGCACTAGGAACTGATTCACACGAATCATACACTCAAACAACTGTGCATAATAGTCATTCGTTGGTCGAATCCACGAACGTCTGTCAGGACATCCGAGTCAATGCTCCGATATGAATAACAATCAAATCTATTTAATTGTATCACACCTACTGATCTGAATTGGGTGTTGCAATGTAGATGAATTTGAACTATAATAACTCAATATTTCAGCATGTGCTCGCAAATGAACACACATGTTGTTACTGCTCGTGATGCTAAATCATCTTAAATTCTTATTCTGAAACTGAAATTGCAATATTCAGATGAAACCCGGTATAAAAGACACGAGAAATCTCATTTGCACTTTTGTAGATGTAGATGTAGATGTAGATGTAGATGGCGAATGACTCATCAGTGTCACTATCAAAACACTTATCACATGGTACACCTGTGACGGTGAACGACGTGACTCAAATTTCCCTTTTTTCTAAATTGTCCTATCCAATTCAAAGGACATTACATGATTAAAGTTTGTGTTTGCATTGGCATGCACTTTATGCAATTTCTGCTCGACATTCCACTGCAGATGGTCCTGAAAGTGAGCCAAATGCAAATTTACAAACTTATGCATTTGTATACGCCACTTACGTGATGTCATTTGTTATACAGCTGCTTATCCATGCCGTGGGGACATTTAAGACATCATATAAATACGCCGGAGCCCATCTCACCCTCAGTCCTAAACAGCGCGAACATGGCACATTACAACGTTTTGTTTATGATGATGGACACGTGTGGGGTGTTCTGTTTAACAGTTCCATAAATCAGTTTTGTTGCTGGAAGACATCAGCATCCGTCATCATCATCAGATGACTAAATCCCTTAAACATTTCCGACAGGAAAAAAACCGTTTGTCTCTCATCCCCAAGAGCTGCTGATGTAAGGTGCGACATGTGAGGGCGGTTAGGTTGAAGGGGCAGTTCCTGAAAACCTGCACTCTGTCATACGTCGTGTATACCTACACGAGGAGATGGAGCTATGTCACACCGTCATATACACAATCATTCTTATGTTCCTAGGTTTTAATAGGATGTTAGGTTTGCCTGTGTACTGCTTCACATTGCCATACAAATAGTTGAGACATGCAGTATATGACTCTTGATAAACATTCACTATAATGCCGATTCCTATTGCCGGTGCCTGTGCACCCCCACCCAACCCTTTCTCAGAAACCTGTATCCGCCTCTGCTAATGATAGCATGTCATCATATTGGATCACCTGTAACTCCTGATAATAATCTGTCTCGATAAATTCATTTCAAGATGATTGCCAGTGACAAATGCTTCCGGATAAAGAGTGAGATAAGGTTTGAAGCTTGACATACGGTAAACATATGCTGAGAAAAACAAATAAAGTAACACAGGAAAATTCAAGCGTTCCTTTAATATTTTCCAGTTTTCATCACCAGCTTTGAATAGCACTGTAGGAGGAAATCTGAGGATAAATAAAGGAACACTGTCATGATGTGGTGTTCCCTGATTTGGTTCCCTCAGTATACATTTTAAGGATGACTACAGCATAACAAATGCCCCTTCACAGATTCTAAGTAGTTTCTACCAGTAGAAGATTCTGCTCCACTAAATGTCACTTCCAAATGTCAAGGGAGATCACACATTCAAACTATTACAGTCATCTGGATCTCTGACGGAATAACCTATCCCCTTAACGAACTGTAAGCCTTTTCACTTAACTTGTATACGCAAAACGTTACCCTGCAGTATTTCTGCCACCAAGCTGAAACAGCACGCATGTGTGAAAACATTACACACGATCACGGTCAGGCGATGGTCATTCGGACACATAGCCCTCTTTGATTATTCACCGACCGACCTCGCGATTTAATGTGCAAACAACAACTTGCAGGTACAGTCTAGGCTCGCGGTTGCTCTGAGGCTGGTATGGAGTTCTTGTATTTACAATAGGTGGAGTTGTGGGTTGGATTGGACAATTAAACCTGATGCAGGTGATCCTAGAAACCCATATTCCAAGCGGGTGTTTTGTAACGTCATACTGATCAAATTAGACAGGGTGTTCATGAAACGTTGTGACCTGTGGCAATCTATTGTATATATTGTGTATATCTATCGAGATATTTTGTCTATTGCAAATATGTTTGCTACGAAACAATGCACCATCTGAGCCTGGTAATTAAACACAATATTATAACTGCTGTTACATTTGGAAAAACTGTTGCATATATCTTGTTAACAAAGTAAGAAATTCAAGTTCTGCTTGTTAAAAGGAATCAATATTTTACAAAGATATCAAATATTTTACTTTCATTACTGTTGTCATGTTTGGAAGAATATTTTGCAATATCTTTGCTCATCTTGTATTGCCTTATGGCAGTATAAATAGGAATAGAAACAAGGCCCCTTTCATTCTGCATATAAAGGGATTCCGCTAATATTATTCAAAGAAATACAGTTAGGATTCTTCTAATCTTGTTTTGCCTGATGTCTGCTCTGACCTTCAAAGTTTTAACACAGCCTTGGCTCTTGTAATTGTACCTGTACTACCTGTATTAATCACACAGGTGAAAATAACGCTGACTCTTCACACAGGCCATTATTGCCTTTTTATGGAAAAATCATGATTCTAGACAGGTAGAAAAACCTCTAAATGTACTGATTCACTGGCAATAAATTCTCTCACCTCAACTCTCTGCAAAACGTCATTGTTGGATACTAGTTATGGGGGCCTTTATGTCATTGTACCATCTAGTAGTCGTTTACATATATCCACATGATGACGTAAAAACCCATAGCGTAAACATAACTATATTCACAGCATAGCCGAGGTTTACTGAGAATTTTGAATGTTTGTTCGCGCTAGTTTCCGCAGTACCTAAGCACGCCTAATATATTGCTAACTTATTGTTATCAAACGGTGGTATCTTCAACGGGCGAGTAATACACGGTTTTGTGACGTTTATGTTGGAATCGATGGGCATCAGATATGCAACGTCTAAAGCAAACAGAATGACACTGCAAGGGCGTTTGTTTGATTTACATATATTTAGTATAGTCGTGGAACGCGTTTAAATGTTTAACATCTTTCAACAGGCATTTTATCATCACACAATATCCGACAGTGCTTCGTTTGTACGATGGTAATGTTCTCTAAAGTCAATATGTACACATTACGATTTCTCTATGCCTGTATGCTTCATTGTTGACTTATTCTAAAATCTTTATAATACGCAGACACGAACTTGTTCTGATAAGATGTCTATGTACGTGTCACTGTAACCCAGTCTGTGTCAGACCACCTGTACTTGCTCATGTTTCTCAGGTCAACGTTTGATGGCTAGAGATGGAATTGGGTGGGGCTGTGCAATTGATTCTTGTCTGTCCTCCCTGAGAGAGATATATAATATATATTCTCGGGGACCGTTAGATACTGAAGTCATTTGTTTAAAGATGTGATAATTCATAAGCATAAGCGATCCATATGTGCATGCCTTTTCCATACCACTACTGTTATAACTCACCAACAATGAAAACGGTAAAACAGACAGTAGGTGTGACCTTGTCTCACAACTTCAACACACCAGCTTCCGACATGTCCTGTCTGTGTCTAATGCTTTATACAACACACGCTATGGGATACTGCAGAAAGTTAGTATGAAGCTAACTTCTTTTTAATTTGTTTCGATGTTGCTAAGGGTGTCCAGACTTATTTCTCTATGATCTTCATACACAGTTCCATACGTCTTTATAGCGACTGCCAACAAGTAGTAAATACTGGATGCTCTTTTGCACCCGCAATGTCACGGCGGGGAACAACAGACTTCACAAGTTGAACTTTTTTCGGGAGTCGAACCTGGGTTTTGCCATGGCTACACAACGTTTTAACCGCTCCTTTAATTACGTGACACATACTAGTATATATCGGATAGAAAACATACGTATCTATCGTCCCACTGTTGTACGTGATAACCCTTTTGTCATAGTTCCTGATCACTTGGCTATGGTCTGTTTAAGGCACTATTTCGTCTTGAATACTTGACACATCTTATATTTCTTCTTGCAGCCTATGTGCAGCTGACAGATACAACCCTGACCGACAGCAGCGACTGCCAGCTACCCACAACAATACATATCACAGTAACAGCTGATGGCCGGTCCTTACCGCTGACACTAACCAAGAATACTGATGTTGATGTAAATGCTCCTATATACACGACCAGTTTCTTTCGAGATGATGAGGTGGAAAAGGAAAACCTTTTCGACATACCGGTGAGTTTGAAATAATGACCGTCAGAGCAACCGAAAAGATGTTATCAGAATGGTTGGCTCAACGGTAGTCAACGCGTTCTTGCTACGTGAATAAATGATTATTGTACTGTTTGCAAATGGCTTATCTCTCAGAGTGACACACCTAATCGCCACCACACAAAGTCTGCGGTCTAGCCCACTCGGTTACAGCGACGTCCACAAAAATTAAAGCCTGCGAACTGCAGCTGGTAGTCTAGATTACGAACTTTTAGTACCACACGGACAAGTGTACATTGGCACGGCTCCCTTGACTGGACCTAACGATGTACAATTTAAAATATATCTTTTGGAAAGTGGGTTATAATGACTTTGCAGTGTGAACGCTAACAAAAGGTATGAGGACTGCAAGCATTCTAAATCTATTCAATGTGGTGATCATTATTTAAATGATGATCAATAGCTATCCTTAGGCATCAAGTATCAGATTGCTTTTCAAATGCACTCAGTCACATCGAACATTCGACATATATATGTGCTGTATAGGATAGTGATGTTATCCTATATTCTGCATTGATTAATGAGACACAAATGTGAGCACGATATGGATTGACATGCAGTTACCAGCTGAGTTATTGCTATCACATAAACGATGACTATATCAACTGGAATGTGCGTTCAGCCCATATTTGCCTAATCCAACAAAGTATATCTAAATACCTACAGAAAACATGATAGTATCTTCGGCCCAACAAAATATGATTTCTTGACGAGTTGTAATGACTGTTCTGTATGGAACTAATCAATTGACCCTGGAAATTACGTCAGTGTTTCAAAAATGAGCATTTTGATTTAACTTTCTTCATAAAACAGTTTCAATAAAGAGCAATGTTCAAAGTAAACTCAAATCTTGTTGAGTAAGTGAGTGAGTTTAGATTCATGCCGCTTTTAGCAATATTCCAGCTATATGACGGCGAGGGACATCAGCAATGGACTTCACACATCGGTCCCAGATCTCCGGCGCGACGAGCGAACGCTTTAACCACTAGCCTACCGCACCGAAACCGATATACAATTTAAACGAAATGTATTAAATGCATCAAAATTATATTCGTTCCTTTTCTAGGATAGCGCAGAATACCAAGATGAGGCGCAATACGCCGCCATGACGGTTGAGTGTCACAAGCTGGATAAACGAGTAGATATATCAGTGGTAGGTACTTGTATACACTATTAACTATCAAACGTGAACTCAATACATTTCAAAATCATTTCCTATTAACATTTTACATTATTTTGTCCTGGAGATATTGTCCAAAGTTGCTCATGGACATATTTGCATTCAGATACCAATAGTGAAATCATAGAGAGAAAAAGGCAATGACTTTCTATTAGTTATTTATTAATCAAACATTCCTTCGTTTCGCGTTATATATACATACGTGCGAGCAAGTAGTTCAGTAGATATATTTGTTATAATTGTTTATGTTATTTCAGCGTGGTATGATCACATTGAATGGAAAACAATATACTATCGAGAGAAAAAGTCGCCAGCGCCGAGATACAGATGCTACAAGTGATGCAGGAGAATACGAAATAACTGAAGATGTTGCACCAGTCACATCAAATGATTATAGAGAGGCACCCCCAGGTATGTATACATTATTATTAACATACCATTGTCATTACTATCATGGGGCGGTGGGGTAGTCTAGTGGTTAAAGCGTTGGCTCGTCACGCCGAAGACCCGGGTTCAAATCCCACAAGGGTCCAATGAGTGAAGCCCATTTCTGGTGTCCCCCGCCGTGGTATTGCTGGAATATTGCTAAAAGCGGCGTAAAACCAAACTCAGTCAGTCAGTCAGTATTACTATCACTGTGGTGTTGGTTTAGATCTTTGTGTTGTGGTTCTTCTTGTTGCAACATATGCATGCATCTGTCCTAAAATAGCTCTTAAACATAACGTGGGAACAGACACGAACCGTCGGCCTACGTGGCCATCACATGGCCCCTGGGGATTTCACGTAGCAGTTAATGAGTTTCCTCTGGGGTGTAAGTATGACTTGCGGGAAAGGAGGACCCACAAATAGGAAGTTGAATTAGGGAACGTGGAATGCCAACTTTCACAAGCACCTGTTAAGTAATGTAGTTAAAGGAAACACTCTCGAGAACATAACTTCCCCTTGTATTTAAAGACACATGTGTTAAAGGGATATTTGACACTCAGATAAGACCCCCCTTGCCCTCCATTCGCTGCAGGTTTACAATATGTGCGACTTAATATACATTGTTAACGTACATGTCTACATGTATGATTTCATATAATTACATACATCGATGGACAAATGCATAGTTAAAAATATTCATCGCGGCTTGTTGTAAGGCATGTTGCTACTTGTAAATACGTCGTCATTAGTAGACACATTATTATGCAAAGATATGAAACACAGGCCTGAAACATTATTTTGTATGTCTTATGTAGATAAATACCTGCATTAATGGTGTAAATATGCAAATCATTATTCAGTATGACCCTTATGTTATCCAGAGGACATATATTACCGTCCTACTTGTTCGAATAAACGGGATCTGGTGATGGACAATGTCAAACAAACTAGGTGAACTTTGCTATACGATAAGTAGAAACCATGATACCACTATACCTATCACATTCCGTTGTGCATACACACATCACATGCGTTGTTTATGAGACTCATACTTCACGTTAATGATAATTTTATTCACATTTCCAGCTGTCGAGGATGCCGTCCGTACCATCAAAGAAAGTCATCAACTGCTTCCGCTTAAGGATGCCACCTTAACCAGACATAAACGCCAGTCTTCTCAATACGTACCGCTGAAAGGTGCCAACCTCGACAGGCAAAAACGTCAAGTCTCACAGTACTATATTGATGTGCTCGCTCTCGTAGACTTCGGCGTTTATAAAAGGTGGGTGTTGTAGTCGAAGGGGGATTACGAATGGGAACGCCGGCGGGTATGCAGTAGGTAACACCTGCTAATCTAGTCCAGGTTAGCGTACCTGAGTCACTGTACTTTGTTGACTTTCTGTCTGAAGTGACTGACCTCTGGTACTTGTGTTTTTGTCAATAAATACACTACATCATCACTTTATGTTAGTTTTATTAAAAACGTGAAGATAAAGGTTAGAATTGATCGTACGTAAGATTCTACATAAAGTAAGGACGATCACTTCTTGTGTGTGAAAAATATTTTTTAAATAAAAGGTTCTATTCCGAGAAAAAGCAAAATATCGTCAACATACTGACAGAAACGTCGGTTAATTGACTCACGTTAAACATGTCAATAGTTACGTTAACGTAAACAGAAGTTCAGTCAGAAACAAACACAACCCAGAATGGAAATTAGCCTAGTATTTAAACCCCACACTTGGCCACAGACTATCTCACAACCACCATTGTCGCTATTTCTAGAACCATGGATGAAAACAGACTGAAAACAAATATAAGCGTGTTTTACATTCTTCGCCCTGAATTAATACGCCCATACTGATGTATTATAACTGAGAATATCTTTGTTCCATAGTTCAGCATTATGGTATTTATAAAATATATTTATGTTTTTTTGTAATTATATACATTAAGGCTTTTGGGGTAACAAATAAAACGAGCCTTTTAGTATATCAAAGTAATTTGTAAATATACAGTAGATAGTTTTACATGTTTTATGTGGCGCAACCTCCACCCAGTGAACAAATGGCTGATTTGGGGAAAATATCATAACATATTATCCTGTGTGCACATTTATTGTTAATCATTCCAGGGTACCTCCAATAAAAGGGCATGAACGTTATGAAAACAAAAAATATATTTTCCATGTATGTTTTTTTTCCAGATGGTATGACGTCAGCACCCAGCCAACTGCAGATCAGAAAAAGATTGAAACGTTGCAAAACATAAGACGTTACTATGCCTACGTCATGAACGGGGTAAGTGTGATATCCATCTTGTTAGTAACTACACCTTATTCGACCTGGAGGCGACTAAAATCAGACAGGGTGTCGTCATTTGCACGCTTGTAAACTATTCGCCTACAGGGATTTCTGTGTAGGTCTAAACATTATGCACTTGAACACTCCCCTGACTAATGAGTTACCAGCTATTTGCTCATTAACTCAGAAAATGGATGAATAAACAAAACGAACAATGTGGGTTAAGCTTGGATAAAGTATGTTGTAAGCTGGGATAAAGTATGTCTGCAAACTAGGCTAAAGTATGTCTTCACATAAGTATCCATTCGTGGATCTATAGTTAATTCAATAAATGTCGAACCTGTAAATTTTACTTTGATGGTTTTGTCATTTTTCACTGTGTCTATAGTGTGGTAAAACGTTTCTTTTTTTCGTTTGCTATAGGTCAGCCTGAGGTACAAGTCAATATCTAGCCTTAACTCACGGATTAATGTCCGGCTTGTGGGCTACTATGTGGCCGAGGTATGTCATAAACCTATTTTTATCACTTAACGACCAGATGCTTTTAGTACCCACTAAACACACTGTTAACATACCATGCATTCATCGTGAAAATGTCTCCATCGAAGAGTAAAGGGATTTGTCGTTATATGTGACTATATTATCACTATTTCACAGTTATTTAATAACTGTTATGTGCAATATAATCAAATCGGTCGTTTTGTTTAGTTTAGATCATATTTCGTTTCCATAATGAAATGGATTTGATTGTTTCAGAGCGGGGCTTCATCGCCATTTACGGAATCATTCCGGATATCGGGTAGTTCTGGTTCTGAAGTTGATGCAGACAAAGTACTCGTATATCTCCGTGACTGGGTCACCAGAACGTCACTTCCGGCCAACGATCACGTCATGATGTTCTCCGGGTAGGATTTAGTACTGGTTGTACAATTGATAGAATTGCCATCCTTTAAATTCGATTTTTGATACCTTAACTTGCCCCTGGAATGCAGACCTAACGAGATATTTGTTAATGTTTGTCAATAGTGGAATTATCGCGTGTAAAAGAATGCTCTGACCGAGAATCTATTTGGACGCTCCACTGAATGTCTTGAATATCTGTCCTTCCAGGTATGATCTCTACACCATCAACCCCGCCACCAACACCAAATCCACTGCTACTTCAGGTAAGCCACTGCCTAACTTGTATACCATGCCATTCATCCACTGCCCAGCCCGACGGGTATGGCATTAGTAATCTTGTTGCTGGATGTAAAGAGAGCATATGCCGATGAGTACCTGGATCTGACCAAACTAACGTAATAATTGCAATCAAAAATTTAAATGTAAATTGGTATGTGTTTGCCTTCTCTATTGAACGGTTAAAGGAATACTCTTTCATTTGTGTTCGAGTGATATGTCATTGGTATTTTATTTATTTTATTACAGGTCTCGCTTACATCTCAACCATGTGCAGAAGCGATGGGAGGAGTATTTCATTGGTGGAAGATATCGGAGGGTTTCAGTGTATTGATACCGCTGCCCACGAACTTGGACACGGGTAAGCGTATGCTAGCAGTACATTGTTCTCCAACAGTAGCACTAACGAGACTTTGACGGTATTATATTGTGGCTCCGATGTCTCATTGACGCCATAAATACATATATTCAATGGGAACTCACATATTGTCAGGATTCAAACCTCTCTTGTTTCTATGACATGGTGATCGATATGTCTTCCTAAAGTCATTATTAATGGCAACAGAATTTTAAAAATACAAAAGAGAATTACCGATATCGAGGATGATATTTATAATAATACACGGGGACCTCTCTATAACCATTACCTCTCTTTATCAATTGATGAAAAAGTAGGAGGGATATGGTGCTATTAAGTGAAGTAATTCACCAAGCAACCATTCTAATGTGAAAAGAATATTTTGTAAATGTGTCATGTCCAATTTTCAGTCTTGGCGCTAAACACGATGGCGATGGGAACAACTGCAAGCCCAGTGACCGCTTTATCATGTCAGGAGGCTCATACAAGACAACCGACCAAAATGAACGGAACCCGTGGTTCTTCTCGTCATGCTCAGTTGATTACTTCCGGAATCTATTAGCATCTCTTTCAAGGACATCGTAAGTAACAATATTGAGTACAGGCTTTGTTCTTGAATCAGTTGAGGGTGATGTACAGCTATAAATCAAATGATTATTGTGACGAAAAATCCGTTTCGTTTTCTGGAGGAGGACATGGGAGTCTTCATCTGTGTCACTATGTTTCAGAACTGGAATACAGTGCATCACAAATGCCTTACCTGTAACAAATGTCCCGGATACAAGCTCTGTGCTGCCTGGACAACTGTACAACCCTAATCAGCAATGTCAGATGATCCATGGAGCCAGCTCCAGATTGTGTATGGTAAGAATACTAACGATAATTATACTGATATTAGATTATAGCGTCATGAAACTGTTAATATTCGTAAACCTTGTGCTGATTTGGTTTTAAATCTGTGACAAAACAATTGTCATTATTGATGAAGATGGTGGTGGTGATGGTAGTAGAAGAGGAGACTTATTTTGCTGGGAGCACCCATGAAACATTATATCTGTTGTATTGGTTTCGGTTATAAACGTCTGTGTCTTTTTCAGGGTCCAGAGTTCGGCAATTACAGTCAAATATGCTCCAACATGTTCTGTTTGGATCCGTCCAGTGTGAGCACCTGCTTTCTTCATGACGCCGCCCGGGGAACCACCTGTGGCGACAGGAAGGTGAGATTAACGTCTAACATTAATCCTTTAACTGTGCCTTCACACAGTAACCAGCCAATCAAGTGGAAAGGAGTTTGTAGTACAATTTATATGACTCTTACAACAAAAAACAGTTTGTGAAAGAGCTATAAAGTGATTTTACTATATCAATACTTATGTACCTTTCTGGTTATGACAGTGGTGCATAGACGGAGTGTGCCAGTACGCCCCTGAAGCTCCATCCGCGAACGGTAAGTCAAAATGTCCAACCACTTTTGCCTTTTACTGTTAAAATAACAGCCAAAATATAGTTCTCTCTCCTTTCAACTCTCAAGAGTAAAATCATATTTTTCATTGTTCTAAAATATACTCATATTTTCCAGAAAATTGTGTATTTGGAGACCAAAGCGGGGTGGCGTTTGAGGGCCAGACGTGCGAAGACTTTACAGGGGGAGAGAACTCTCCATACTGTTACCAGCAGGTTGTTAGAGGTCGCTGCTGTGCTTCCTGCAACAGATATTATACAGGTGTAGAAAGTAAGTTGATGACAATTAAGAAAGTAATAAATGCATCAAAAAAAAAGAAGTCCCGGAAATTAATCTTCAGATATTGATACTTTTGATGTACAAACGATCTTGACCGCTCCAATTGCATCCATTTAAAGGTTGAGTTAGGAACATTTGTCTTTAATGGAAACAAGTTCATATATCAACTTCTCGATAGGCTGTCTCTACGGCAACACGGTCCGCGGCTGCGACGCCAGGTTCTGCGACTACATCTACGAGGACGGTACACGGTACGCAGACAACTGTTGTCAGACCTGCGGACAAGTTGTTCCCATCACCACCACGACAACAACTACAACGACGCGAGCACCTGTAACGACAACGATGACAACAACAAAAACGACAACAAAGGCACCTGTTCCCACAACGATACCCAATACACAAGGAGGTATGTCAGAAACCTTGTTATATTTTGGCCATTGGAGATGAGGGATACCTTCAGCACGTTTATATACTACTCACACTTTGCTAAGGATCACAAAATTTCCCAACTTTACTTAAACATAGATTTATAATTTGAAATTGTATCCATTTAAAACTAGATAAATAATGATATGGTATGCTCTTCAAGCAAACAGCCACTTTAATCTAACCTTATGCACTTGATACATGAGTAACCATAAACATGTTTTTTATGGTACCAATCAACCATTTTGCAAATCGTAGAACGAGTCATTGACAAGTGCACAACACCTGTGAATGGCAGGTATGGGATCCTCAAGATGAAATGACAAACTGAAACCTAGGATCCATGCTTACAATAAGCTTAGATACTTAACCAAATAAGACCCACATCATAGTTTTGTGTTGAATCAATTGTTTGATCCTTAGCAAAGTGTGAATAGTATATTATTGCTAGATTAAGTAAAGTAGTAATTCATCTTCAGTCCACTAATTTGGACCTTCTGGGATAGCTACCAGCAATGGTGCAAAAACAATGTAAACATCATGAGTTTCAAATAACCGCCTGCCAGACGTTCCGAAACAGGTTGTTTTTGTTTCGACATCAGATATACATTCTTAATGACATCTTGATAATGGGCCGAAATTATAGAAGGCGGGAAACGTTTAAAAACCATTTCAAGTAGAGTTTTGTAGTATGTATTGTTATTGTTCAGTCCAATGTAACGAATGTTGACTGACAATACAGTCGAATAGCCAGTCCCGCCGTCGAGCTAGAATTCATCTGAATCTTAAACGAAAACCAATGCTTGAAGCTGCAGGAACGTCATCAGAGCTGCGGGAGACTGCGAAATCTTCAAAACGCCTTATTAAACACATTGTAAACATCGTTGTCGTTTTTATGAAAATCTAACTTATGAACTTGCCGTAAAAAAATATGATTTGCTGAAAAAGTTCTTTTTTCTTTTGTTTCAGATGACTGCACCGGTAACCTTGGTGACAGAAATGGCATAACCTTTAACGGGATGTCGTGTGCGGACTACGTTAACTCCGATTCAGGTGTCTGTTACAGCGAGTCCACCCAGAACTACTGCTGCTCCTCATGTAGACAGAAAGAAACGGGCATACAAGGTAAGGGAGATTACTCTCATTTCCCAACTTATCTTTTGGAGGATGTGGGACTCACTTGTCGTCGCAAGATGGCTGCTGTCGGCCATTTTGTTTACTGGTTCAGTGAACTGTTAGACGAAGGGTTTTGAAGGTTGTTCGGGTGGTAGTACTATTTCATCCTGGTGTGGGGATATGGAAACATTTTTAAGGGAAAATTGTAGGCGGATGATTTAATGTGTTGTTAAAATGCATGCATGTTCATGAATTCTATACTAACTCCTTCAAGTACAGCATGGGTGTATCATTGCTATTACAACAGTACAATGACATCTGACTTGTACTCTTTCTTTACTAACTTTAGAAATACATCAACCCTTGCATTGTGTACTTTCTGTACCACCTTTACGTATCCTAAATACTTTTAATCATCTACTTTCTTTAACAACTTTGCATTGTGTACTTCCCTTACTAATTTCACATATGCGATATTATTTGCATTGTGTACGTTGTTTACTAATTTTGTTTCTTGTTTGATCGTGTTGTTTTGCCCAAGTTCCTTACTGAGTTTCATCAAAACAAAATAGAATACGGTTCTTTATAATGATCCCTGAAGTAATAGTCAATAACACCTGAAGATTAAGATCTCACAAAGGGATCATGTATCAACATTTTTACTGGGTCGATTTTGAATTTGAAAATCGAATTGTCGCTAAGAATATTTTCAGTAGTTTTTATGTTAGCCAAAGGTTTGAGGTACAGGAAACCAATTTGGTGTTATTTAAGGACATAATGATTCTTCAGCAGATTTGTACGGTGCGTGATATTTGGACAATGAAACTCATGTATTTGGACATGATGGGCGTATTTCCTGTATGAAACCTAACTCTTCATTCGTGACGTGTTAACGTTACTGCTTTCATATATATGCAACGTTTCTGTTATAACATGTTAGCTATGTATCCACCAATGTACTGTACGCCATGTCTAACAACCCTAAGTTAATAAATACGTCCTTACTTGAACTCTGTACTCTGTAATTAACCGTGAGCCTGGCGCTCGGAGGAAGGATAAACATCCAGGAGTTACCTCCCTTCTTCTACAGCCAGACCCTTTCACTGCAAAGAAATAACGTCAACGTATTGGAAGGATACTGACCCTGACATTAGAAAGGCCACTGAACGTTTGAGAGAATCTATCACGATGCTAGCCACCGTCTGAAATTGGAATAACCAGGAAAAGGAAGGATCGTCCCGTGTATATGGCGACGGTGCAAATGTTGATGCAATATGTTGGGATCTCTGCCAGAAGATGAACGATCTTCCCATCAAGGGAATCTGAGACACCCTCTTGCCTTCTCGCAGTAACCACTCACGCTTGTCTCTCTTTGCCTGTGTCACGCCTTAACACAAACTGTCATAGTCCATGTTTAACACTTAACTGTTGTGTCACTTAATACTACATTATAGCCTGTGTCAGTAACCATAGTGTAGTTTGCCCATAGTTATCTGAAACAACCATTGTACAACGTAAACTCGTCTATGAAATTCCTGTATAACATATCCATATACACACATGTACAAGCATGCAGCACGGAACTGAAGATTTCTACTGGTAGTCATATCCTAGCGTACTTAATCTGTGACCGCCTCCGTGGTGTAGTGGTTAGAGCCTCCGCCCGAAGGTCGCGGGTTCGATCCCCGACCGCGTCAAAAGACGTTAAAATATGCTACTTGTTGGTTCCTGCCTGGCGCTCGGCATTAATGGGTACAACAAGGACTGGTCGGCTCGGAGTCAGTATAATGTGTCTGAGTGGGGTATTCATGCTTCACTGCGGCATGGTATCTCCGTGGGCTAGCACTATAAAACCAACCTAAGTCTGGGCTAGTACAAGCAGCCGCACATACACATACACACGCATGTATGTCGTCATATGAGCGAAATATTCTCAAGCACGACGTTAAACCCAATTTCACCTCACCTCACTTAGTCCTGTATGGGGCGGTGGGTAGCTCTGTGGTTATTGCAACCCCATTAAGCTGGACTGTGCGGGCGTCCTTACCGACGTCCCCAAATTCCCATCAGTGGTTGGGGCGGTGGGGTAGTCTAGTGGTTAAAGCGTTCGCTCGTCACGCCGAAGACCCGGGTTGGATGCCCCACATGGGTACAATGTGTGAAGCATTTCTGGTGTCCCCCGCCGTATTATTGCTGTAATTTTGTTAAAAGCGGCGTAAAACCATACTCACTCACTCATTCCATCAGTGGTTGAGTGCGTGAAGCAGTTATTGTTTAGCCTGTCACAGTTACGCTGAAATACTGCAGAATGGGTTTTACGATATACCCACTTACCCTAGTGTTTTTGGTTAGAGCATCTGTCTTTCCATTAAACCTGTGTATCTACATATCCAGTTATATTACAAAGGAAGTAAGCACACTGGGATAAGGCATTTGGTTATAATGACACATGTAAGAGATGCCCTATCCATGTGACGATATTTCTCCAGGATGCATGTACGGGGATTGGTTCAGTGGATGTGTAGATGAAGCTTGTGACTACATCTACTCGGACGGAACTCCTTACCGCTTCTACTGCTGCGACACTTGCAGAGGTAGACCGGCAACGACAACAACAACGACAACCTCCACTACAACAACTACCCCCACTACCACAACTCCTACTACCACAACTCCTACTACTACAACTACTACAACTACGACAACCACTCCCAGTACAACTACTACAACCACTTCTACAACAACGACTACAACAACGACAACCACCCCCACCACCACAACATCTGTGTCAGACAGGTGTTCAGAGAAGATCTATGGCGTGAGCTGCCAGGCTTATATCGGCCTGTACGGCAAGGGACGTTGCTACAATAGCGATGTCGCTAAAGCTTGTTGCAGTTCATGTGGAGCTGTTTCCAACCCCTCAAAACCAGGTAAAGCACAAATGAACTCTTTAACCAAACACTAGCCATAGTTACATTCTAACAATCACTGTTCTTAATTTGCTACTTTCTGCTATAATATCACAATCCCTCAAAATCAAGTAAAGCAAAACATGAACTCTTAAACAACGAGGAGACGTGCTTACATTTTTAATCACCACTGTTTAATCACCATTTAGCAACGCTCTGTTAAAACACATGACTGTCAGAGTCAAGTCTTTAACAATCTGATCCTCTAGCTTAGTATTTCTCTATCTTTTAATTTGATTTCTCATTTCTGATAGTTCATTGGTTTAGCAAATACTTTCACAGAAGCTTTATATATTAAACTATCTTTATCCTCTTTTGTGTGCAGTGCCCTTTAGTTAATCTTCTATAGCTTCACGTGTTCATGCACATCTAACATAAGCGTAGAACTGTCTGCAACTATCTGTAGCATACCACCCTATCTCCTAATGAACCCGGTCACCACTTTTCAGGACGAGGTTTCTTTTTCCGACGAAGGCCATTGAGTGGACGTATTAGGCCTTCAGCTCGTCCATCATCTTGGATGAGTTATCTCTCGTCCTTAGGGTTTCTGCAGTAGGAAAGATCTGAAATAACCGTGAAACGTATTGGAAAATGACAAACAGGTGATAATGTTGATCAAATTTGGGCTGATACTTTTGAAAAGACGAAACAGATACATAATTGGGTGAAAATTTTCTGTTAATTCACGCAACACGTGAGATGAAATTCATAAAGTTGTGACATGCACTGAAATTGTACATTGGAAACTGCCATCGTACGCCTGGAAATCTGTCTCAGAGCATGAGAGGTTACAACCCAAGTTTCAAAGTCTTTGTCATTTTGTAACAGTATCCTTTAAAAATTGTCCCCTGGTTACGCCAGAAATATATGATGATGGGATCGCATTATCATAGGCAGGATTACATCATCTAGGTATAATCAGCACTAATGGGGCACTGAAGGTTTCGCCTCGGTCTTTCCTCAAATTCACATGGCGTGATATAAAGGGTATATTGTTCAAAGCGTCGTTGAATCCCATCTCACTATCAATGATTTGATAGAGAATTCGTAGAGAATTTAATTAATTGCTACTAGAAAGTTCGTGGGCATGAGTAGAACATTGCTTTAAAAAGTATCAGCACAAGTTTGCCATTTGAACTGTATATATTTGTAATCTGTAAACGTCTGTAAACAGATATATCTGTAAACTTTCGGCGTCAGTTCCATAGGCTTGATTTTCCCAACTCAGTTTGCATTTTCTAGTTTGCTTTTTTCGTTTTTCTTTAACGTTGTTCCTCTTTCACAAACGTAACACTAATGCACGCTTTTCACGATTTATGAATCATACACATAGATATCTCATGTATTTCATTATTTAATCAAACGTGATAAAGTTAATGTAGCTTTCATGGTATAATATAATTAGAAGAAACATCTTGTTCAATTGTAACGACAAAAACAACAGCAGCTATTCATAACCTCGTTTCCAACTGTAGATTGCCTCTACGGGAACCGTCATGATAACTGCTTTGTAGCACTCTGTGATCACGTCTTTGATGACGGGACACTGTACAAATACTGGTGCTGTGACACGTGCTCAACCGTGGTTGTTTCAACACTCGCTCCACCGACAACACAAACAACAACAACAACCACAACAACATCTACTACACGTCCAACTACAACAACGAGAACAACAACGACCCAACGTTCTTCAACTACAACGAAAAATGTCACTCCTGGTCCTACTACAACTCGACGATCAACCTCAACCAAGACTACCTCAACTCCTACCACAACGCCTACAACTACTCCAACTACCACTCCAGTCTGTGTAGACACCAACACAAACTGCTCACTTACTCTCAGAACGGAAGGACCCCCGGCTTGTTACATACCAGACTTTGAAGTTTCATGCTGTGTTTCTTGCGTTAATGTACGAATTGAAACGGATCAAGGTATATGCCTGTCATTAGAATTTCTTTAGTGTTTATACTTGTAAAGATTATTTCGGTTGTATGTTTGAAAGCAGTCATGTTTCACACACGTGTTATTTTATCAAGTATTTTTGTCTTTTTCCCCTTTTATTTAACTTCATATCGTTGGGTTCACTTAACAGGGACCATGTAGCCATGTGCATAAGGCGTGTCTGAAGTATGAATACACGATGTGCAGGTGCAGGGCAGTGAACTACTCATTTCAGATACGATGCAAAAACGTCTGACGTAAATGTGTTTTCTGATAAGAACCACCTTGATTTTAATGAGATTATGCGCAATAAATGTACAAATTCCCATGTTCCTCCAAGCTCTGCAAGTGATGAGACAAATTATTGTTATAATCATTCAGAAATGACACGAAGGCGCAAATGCATTGCGTCACTCCTCTTGGGCGTATTAGTTTTCATGGAAGATATGTGCATTGTCGTGGGCAATATTTTGTAATATAGTGTCGTTATTTATTGCAGGATGCAGGTATGGCGACAAGAGTCCTTCTATCTGTAGCGGCCTGACAACACCTTTGGAGACGTCTTGCAAGGGACTGGAAGAGACCTGCTGCAATACGTGTAAATCTGTTATATCAGGATCAGACCGCAGGACGGGATGGTCAGCAATGTCCGCAATATTGTCTGGACTTGGTGTCGCGCTTGTAGCATTGTTTTTGTGAAAGTGCTGACTGGTTTATACCTGTTTGTGGACAATTATTTCACAAAGGCAGTTGCTGGTCGATATTGAATTCGGAAAGCATGAACTTGAAGAAGAACCAGGTTGCGAGAGGTCGTCTCAGAGGATGCAACAAGTGTCTCGAACCACTCCAGCCTTGCGATTTTATGACGCACATACCGTCAGTCTTCCTTCCAGGACAAAAGCAAAGTATTGTGAAACAGTTTGCTAAGGTGTCTGCCTGCAGAGAGTGAAAGTCGATTTAATCGTTCACTTTGCAGTTATCGTCAGGGCATTCCTATTCCAACGTTGTGGTTCTGTCACCATTATCAGCACAGACTGAACAGTACTCTCATATCAGAGAATCTACTCGATAATGCTCAACATTATGTGGTGATGATGATGGTGATGATGATGATGATGATGATGTCTCTGAACCTTTGTGTTTCTATAGACACTCGTGTCAGAGACTCAAGCTAATCGATAATGCTCAACTATACTGCAATATTTATTTATGATCCTCAACATGTTTGTCAAGTTGTGAGGTTGCGATAAAGCACGTTATGTTGTGTAAACACCTGTGTGGGTGTGTCGTTGCGACGCCGAGACATATATATAGGTCAGTCAGGTTAGTCGTCGGTGATAGGTCCAATGATAGAAGTAGTTTCCCAATACTAACAAATATACATTAACACACACAGTTTTCCACTGACAACGAACTCATCCAAGCCATTTTCTGTGATCGGTTATAGAAACTATTTTATGATTGCATGCAATTTGCTTCATATGTCAATCCTTTGTATAAAACATAATTTTCCACGCGTTCTATACAATCAAACCAATTAGACGTTACTCCTTTTCACATCGTATTCCTGACAGAGGAAACACTTGCAAATGAAACATGTTGGTCTCAGAGAACTTTTGTTGCCGATTAGCATAATACTTCCAACAGTGAATGCTTCTCTAATATTAGCCTGTATGCATGAACGTTTTTTGCCAACGTTAGAGTTTGCTTGTGGATGTAATGAGCAGGGCAAATGAGGGACGTTAATGTCTGAACGGAGCAAAGCTTTTATATACATTAACCGCTGAAATTTGTACATTCCATGATTTCGGGTTTGGTATTTTTAGTTGATGCCCATACTTTATGTTTGTATCAACTTGATATTTTATTTGGATTTGATGGCTTTCGGTTTTGTTACATTGAAGTTGCTTTAGTTTGAGTTACCTTTCATATTTCTATAAATATTTCAGTCTTTTATTCCAATGCATTTTGAGGGTATATCAATAATGCTTTTAAAATCAGTTTTAACAAGAGACGTGTATGTGGATTCAAGATGCCTGTTGCTATGACTACCAAGTGCTCTGCCGGACAGAGTGAATGAAAGCAGTCTAAATGTTGTCAATGCATGTATGGCCATTGAATTATAATCTCAACAAGTCAGTGCAATCAGGGTGAAATGTGTATATGCTTGAGTATAAAATAACCAGTATAAATGATTAACAATACATGCTAAATGCGGCTTATGATTCAGCTGCTGCCCTTTACATCTTGATAGCCTTGGTACAGATTTTGAATAAATCAGGGAATAGTCATTTCAGTGTCTTTCACACAATCACTTTTGATCCGACCTGTTAAATTTTTAGTCAACATATTAATCTAATGTCAAAATATTTAATTTTATATTTGACAAATGTTTTTTTAAATATACAACCCATAGTTATAATTAGAGCTGGTCTCTAAACTGTGTATAATGTTTTCTACATTATTGTCATGTATATTTTGTACATACAAATAAAACCTATTTTGAAATGACTTCTTATGTTTCTTTGAATGAAGGAGGTATTTTCGTTCATTAAAAGCTCTTCCAAGAGCAGAGTTGTGTGACAGTGTCGACTGTATCATGAACCCGTGTTTATGCTTCACTATCAAATAGTGACGACACAAGATATTAACGAAAACGATCAAGCCCCAGCCGAGGCGCCCGTCAAAAACACATGCAGATGCTAAGTTACGCCAAGTTGTCAAACGGTTATCTTAAATGGTACATTATAACAATAGACCAATATTGAGTGCAGTGCAGATCTCCCTGACTGCACTGCATTGTACATTCAATTTCACCGCTCTGACGGTGTCCCATACATTCAGGTATCAACCTTACACCAAGCCTGGAACCGAAATCTTAGCAACTCCTCAAAAGGAATCGAACCGAGCAATGTCACTCATCCAAGTGCATTTCGCCGCCATCTGTATTATATTCACATAATGACTTCAGTGGTGATTTGGGCTGCATTTAATGCTACGTATTAAACAAGAGAAATGTTAGACACAATTCAGGTCGAGTTGGATCAATGATATTATTCGACAGCTTTGGGAGCTTCCGCCCTGCCCCACTTATAGATACAACCAACAAGGTGCCCCCTTAGGCAAGTGACTGTGTAAATGGGTACCCGGTAGAAACGTAATCGACAGTTTTTATGCTGAAGGAAAACCAAGTTCTATGGATAGTCAACTTCTTTATTGCAATGGGTGCGACGTGTCGGTGTAGGTACTAGCACCGTTATCAAGCACCGTTATCTCTCTCTCTCTTGCTTGAGTTCCATAGAACTTGGTTTTCCTTCATCTATACAATTTCTAAAATGCCTCTCAAGTTTTTAAGGAAGCAGAGAATGTACATGAACACTGGCCTGGTGAGAGAATAATTGCGGCCTTGCATGAGTATTGCGCTATTTCAAGAGATTTTAGGAAGAGGCTTATAATTAGTCATCATCATGGTTAAGATGTATTTGTACGGGTTTTCCACCGCATCCCAACTCTCCACAATTCACTACAAGCGTCAAGCGTGCCACTGCGTTAGAACTGATGGCTGCAATCCAAGTTCCGCCCTGATTAATATTCTTAATGTGTTTAGCACCCGTCCGTTTCTGTCTCACCATCGTGGCATATCGTCCAAGATCAATGCTTGCATCACTTCCGGCTACTCTCCCATGTCAAGCTGACATCACTATGCGGTAACGTTCAAAACACATTCATTGTGATGGTGTCCTCCCATTTGTGAGAACTCCCAGTTGTGAGACACATTAATTAATGGTTCAGTGCACATAGGTGGTGTTTCCACATCCCCACAGTGAAAGTGGGATCAGCCCAGTTGCTATGACTACCAAGTGCTCTGCCGGACAGAGTGAATGAAAGCAGTCTAAATGTTGTCAATGCATGTATGGCCATTGAAATATAATCTCAACAAGTCAGTGCAATCAGAGTGAAATGTGTATATGCTTGAGTATAAAATAACCAGTATAAATGATTAACAATACATGCTAAATGCGGCTTATGATTCAGCTACTGCCCTATACATCTTGATAGCCCTGGTACAGATTTTGAATAAATCAGGGAATAGTCATTTCAGTGTCTTTCACACAATCACTTTTGATCCGACCTGTTAAATTTTTAGTCAACATATTAATCTAATGTCAAAATATTTAATTTTATATTTGACAAATGTTTTTTTAAATATACAACCCATAGTTATAATTAGAGCTGGTCTCTAAACTGTGTATAATGTTTTCTACATTATTGTCATGTATATTTTGTACATACAAATAAAACCTATTTTGAAATGACTTCTTATGTTTCTTTGAATGAAGGAGGTATTTTCGTTCATTAAAAGCTCTTCCAAGAGCAGAGTTGTGTGACAGTGTCGACTGTATCATGAACCCGTGTTTATGCTTCACTATCAAATAGTGACGACACAAGATATTAACGAAAACGATCAAGCCCCAGCCGAGGCGCCCGTCAAAAACACATGCAGATGCTAAGTTACGCCAAGTTGTCAAACGGTTATCTTAAATGGTACATTATAACAATAGACCAATATTGAGTGCAGTGCAGACCTCCTGACTGCACTGCATTGTACATTCAATTTCACCGCTCTGACGGTGTCCCATACATTCAGGTATCAACCTTACACCAAGCCTGGAACCGAAATCTTAGCAACTCCTCAAAAAGGAATCGAACCGAGCAATGTCACTCATCCAAGTGCATTTCGCCGCCATCTGTATTATATTCACATAATGACTTCAGTGGTGATTTGGGCTGCATTTAATGCTACGTATTAAACAAGAGAAATGTTAGACACAATTCAGGTCGAGTTGGATCAATGATATTATTCGACAGCTTTGGGAGCTTCCGCCCTGCCCCACTTATAGATACAACCAACAAGGTGCCCCCTTAGGCAAGTGACTGTGTAAATGGGTACCCGGTAGAAACGTAATCGACAGTTTTTATGCTGAAGGAAAACCAAGTTCTATGGATAGTCAACTTCTTTATTGCAATGGGTGCGACGTGTCGGTGTAGGTACTAGCACCGTTATCAAGCACCGTTATCTCTCTCTCTTGCTTGAGTTCCATAGAACTTGGTTTTCCTTCATCTATACAATTTCTAAAATGCCTCTCAAGTTTTTAAGGAAGCAGAGAATGTACATGAACACTGGCCTGGTGAGAGAATAATTGCGGCCTTGCATGAGTATTGCGCTATTTCAATAGATTTCAGGAAGAGGCTTATAATTAGTCATCATCATGGTTAAGATGTATTTGTACGGGTTTTCCACCGCATCCCAACTCTCCACAATTCACTACAAGCGTCAAGCGTGCCACTGCGTTAGAACTGATGGCTGCAATCCAAGTTCCGCCCTGATTAATATTCTTAATGTGTTTAGCACCCGTCCGTTTCTGTCTCACCATCGTGGCATATCGTCCAAGATCAATGCTTGCATCACTTCCGGCTACTCTCCCATGTCAAGCTGACATCACTATGCGGTAACGTTCAAAACACATTCATTGTGATGGTGTCCTCCCATTTGTGAGAACTCCCAGTTGTGAGACACATTAATTAATGGTTCAGTGCACATAGGTGGTGTTTCCACATCCCCACAGTGAAAGTGGGATCAGCCCAGCCCAGTACCCACAGGAGGCATGGTTCATTGATGAGTTGATTAATGAAATAGATTATCAAAGATTTTATTTACAAAGAAGAAATAGTTCATTAAATATTTTATTTATTCAGAAGAATATGTAATTATGATAACACATTTTTATTGACTATTATGAAGTTTGAAAGTTATTTTGGTTTAAACATATTTTATTATCATTATCAAAGTGTTTAATTTTTAAGGACATTTACTGGAGTATGTTAATCAATTTATCTTATAAAGTTTCATTAAGTTACCTCCAAAAGATTCAGTTACATAGCAAATCAGTAAGTAGCTAGGGTTAATCCATTCTATCAGGCAGGGGAGTATTTGTGTTTTCTTTGTTAATTACCTACTCCACTGTCTCATAACCTGGAGTCTCACAATTGGGAGTTCTCACAAATGGGAGTAGACCCATTGTGATTGTACACGAAACCCAGACATACTGTCGTCTCTTTCAATGTTTCGGAGTTATATTGGAGTAGCCTCCCTTTGACCGTAAGTATACTTGTACCCAACATAGTTTGGTATCATTACAAGAAGGTACTATACGGTGTGTAGGGATCTAAACCGATTTAGGTGACGCTTCCCAATATGCTTTTCAAGACACCGTGGTACGAAGTAGTTTAATTTCTACATCCTCCATCACAGAATGAGTGAGTGTAGATCTAAGCCGCATGTATCAACATTCCAACATTAGCCAGGTGGGTGGGCACCAGAAATAGGCTTCCCACATTCCCCCAATATTGGAAGTCAAACCCAAGCCTTCAGCCTACAGAGATTTTCATAAAAAAACATTTATGGACAAAGACGAAAGCTCGGTTCTGTATTTTTATTCTTTTCTTCATATAAAATATCAACAAGTATATGAATATATTCCAACAATATTAATCATATCAAAAACCATTGGACGTTGAATGCCATATTGCTTTGAACATATTAATAACTGATTTGATCTCTATATGCCCGTTAAACTGAAGACATACAAAAATATCAAAAAGCTAACTGTATGACTGACTGACTGACTGACTGAGTTTGGTTTTACGCCGCTTTTAGCAATATTCGAGCAACATCACGGCGGGGGACACCAGAAATGGGCTTCACACATTGTGCCCATGTGGGGATTCGAACCCGGGTCTTGGGCGTGACGAGCCAACGCTTTAACCATTAACAGTACTGTGTATAAACTTTGACCATGAGCATAGTCATGGTGCTAAGTCATGGTGCTAACATACCTACAGGAGTTCATAGCTAATCTTTGAATCGAACCACGATTAATAAGTTCAACACAATTATGAATTTGTTTATTCGGACAGCTGATCGCTACCCAACATGTCAGGTTGTTTAGTAGAATCGTGTCAATCATTCTCATTGCGTGTATTTCTTCATCACACTTTTCACAGCACCCTTAACACTCACACTCAGCCTACATTCCCATACAAGAAACTCTCTTAATAAACGAGTCATCCTCACGGCTAGTCAAGATAGCAAAGCGCGGTACTGAAACTGAATACTGGTCATGGAATTACCCTAGATGAATGTTAGATTGTATATTAATATCTAGCACTAGTATATGTGCTTCTTGCAGTTATTGCCTCCTCTCTTCTTAATACATCATGTTTGAAGATATATTGGGTAAATTATAGGTCACCAACAACAAATGCTGGCTGCCGCAAGAGGCGACAAAATGAATTGGATGGTCAGACTGGGTGATGAATACCCATGGATGAAAACCTAGGATGTTAATCCCTGAATTGTCTGGTCTGGGATCGATTATTTACAGACCAACATGTTGAGATAGACCATAGCTGGAGTATGGCGTTAAACAACGAATAACAAACAAACATGAGCTTTGATTTTAAAGTTGTAGGTACATTAATATAATATATTTGGCACATTTTTCTGATCCATGAATCAGATAATAAAGACGTCATGATCTTAACCTGACCTTTCGGTACTGACCTTAAGTGTGGACTGAGCTGGGATCCACAAAGCGATCATAGAACAGCTGATTGTTTACAAGCATGTATGGAAGTTTCGAACAGATTAACGCCGAGATCGTTTTGAGGATCAGGTCCAGGGGTGAAAACAAGGTATGACTGTTGAAATTTATCGGCCAAATATGTTAATCGTACTGGCATGCATGAACTAAACGGGTTATAAGAAGTAAAAATATGGCCGCAAATGATGACGTCATGACATGCGCAGAATTGACATCCGGTGAACAAGTTTGGCAACAGTTTTCTCGTACTTGTCTGTCGGTGCTGCATTCCTTACCGTAGTTACTTAAAATATCGCATCGTTGTTGCTTGTCACCGTATTCGCAACCTGCAAAAAATACACATGAAACCAATTATTAGGATGTGTCACGGTGCTCACAATATTAGTTGCTGTTTTGTCTGGCCCAGACATTTTACAGGATTCCGTGACGTGGCTGGAAAATTGCAAAGTCAGGCGTTAAACAACAACCACACACGGACGCACACACAGACACACGCTGACACCTTTCCGATCATCTAGCATGTACAGTGAGTGGACAATTCTTAAGCTTGTTCGTTTAAACCGAAAGTTTCTTATTAGGACTTGTGGGAAAGATTCTTAATTGTTTTTCTTTCAAGACAATCTGTCCATTTGAGGTCAAAGAATATAATTTTATTGTCTACAATATCTTTCATTTCCTCGGAGCCTAATCAGATACCCGGGTGGTATGTATTAAACATTCGATTACTCATCATTACTGACCAGATATTTCTCAAAAGTAGAATTCTCCAATCCAGCGAAAGGGTTCCATTTGATAACTTGCGTTACCTCCCTTAGACTGTACACGCATGCGCCTTGAGGCCGATTGTGCCTCCCCACAACCCCAACCACACGCATTCAGAATACGAACGAAACACACAAGGACACTCTAGCACCACATCAACATACAGTAAAACACACACGAGAACAACCCAAACCAAAAACAAACCCCTAACAATCACCAACCCATCCACTAACATACCCCACCATTATACGAGGTCGACCTTATGAAGCCTCTTCTCTCTTACCAGTTTTGTCGACATTGCGATGGCTTGCACACGTTGAACAGCAGGAGAACGCAATGCTAGGTCTGTAACACTCGTATGGTTGTATGCTGGAGCAGTCGAGGCCGTCAGTAGAGACGTCTCTACATTGCCATGCATTGACGCTGAAGTTGCACGTCCCACAGCAGTCGTTGTCATAGATGTTACCGTTGGGGGTGATGGAGTGACAGTCTCGTGTGACGCAGCCGGGGAGTTTGTCTCCGTACTTGCAACCTTGGTTGAAAATAATTCTTGTAATGTTCATTGAATTCGGACCTCTGGGTAAGATGCATATTAATGAACGGCATTTTAAAATCTTGTTTGGATACAAATACCCATGAGAAACTAATAAAGTAAAACAACATTTGGCCTAATACTACTTTATACCTAGCCATTGCACCCGTTTCACCTGCATGAAGGGCACAGGTGGTTCTATTGATTGTAACTCTATACAGATCTTTATTTACTAATCGAATGTAGGTATGCCTTAGTATGGTTTTACGTCGCTTTTAAGAATATTCTAGCAATACAACAGCGGGGACACCAGAAATGGGCTTCACATATTGTACCCATGTGGGGACTCAAACCCGGGTCTTCGGCGTAAGAAGCAAACGCTTTGACCACTAGGCTACCGCACCGTCCCGAATGTAGGTATTACACATGAAAGAGCGTGTTGGGCAGAAAAGAAAAGGGGCAGCTGAGGGGGATATAGGATGTGAATCGGTATATCAGAATTCTGGCGGGACTTTGGCTACATTTTCATTGAAAGAACACCAGGGCGTGCTTGTCGACGGCACCACACCTGTAGTCCCTGCATTATCACATTTATTCAACTTCGTAGACTTCATCTTACACTGATTGAGGTTAATTAATTAGCAATGGGTGATTTTGATGTCCTCGCATCCGCGTCGAAATTCCTACCAATCGGAAATGATGCGTATGCGATTTGCGATTCGCGCAAAAGATATAACTTTGAAGTTTGATCTAGCATTTTTGAAAATGTATACGATGCGTGGTTTGAGTAGTATTGGTAATATAGGTCCCTCTGTGGGCCTTTTCCGTACGGTGAAAAGGGGTTAAATGACGCGTGCAAGATTATGGTAATAATATTAAGACTTGCTCTTGTGCATGTTCAGACTTCTGGCAGTTCTGTTGTGTTCTATTGAGTTAAGCATGGTTGCCCCAAACAGACACATTATCCCCTCAATTCAGAGCTCCAAACACGGCAAAAGGAGTATCGTCAAATAAGGTATTCTCGAAAGTTTCATTTGCATTAACCCGTGAAGGTCCGGGTCAGAATGAACCTTTAGTAACCCATGCTTGTCGTAAGAGGCGACTAACGGGATCGGATGGTCAGGCTCGCTGGCTTGGTTGACACATGTCATCGGTTCCCAGTTACGCAGATCCTTGCTCATGCTGTTGATCACTGGATTGTCTGGTCCAGACTCGATTATTTAAAGACCGCCGCCATATAGCTGGAATATTGCTGAGTGCGGCGTAGTACTAAACTCACTCACTCACTCATTTGCATTATAAAACACTTGGTTATATGACGTGAATAATACGATGTAACAGAAGCATTCTTATCATAAAATCTTTGAAAAGGGATCACAATTTCGTTTGGCGGATGGTAGTGTATTAAAAATATCTCAACACTGACGGTACTTTACCTGGTGAAGTTGACTGAATTGTCCCACAGGATCCACAACAACGCTGCTGAATGTCACTTCTATAACAGGCGTATGGTGTCTCCGCCACCGCCGCTCTGCACGGTTTGCCGTTCACGGTAACGCCGGTTTCGTCACCAAACACGCAATCATCTGCAAGGATGAATGCAAGAAATCTCATCTATGTCATCGACTAACACTAAAACGTTGGAATGGGTGTATAGTTACTGAGGCAGAGTGAGTGAGTCAAGTGGAAGTAGGGCCGCCTTGTTCAGTAGTTTGGTTATATGGCACGGTGTGTGAACTTGATAGGGGAGGAAAACCCGAAGTAATGTTGTTAGGTTCACCGTTCGTGAAACGCAGGAACACAAGTTCTGACAAACTCACATCGTAGGTTTCTTACGCTTACAAAGAGAACTCTGGCTTTTGGATAAAGTAGGATAAAAACAACACGCTGCTGCTGATGGTGGTGGTGGTGTATTAACTTACCAACTTTAACTGGCGCATCTTCAGATTCAACACATCGCCCTTGTTCGCACCACTGGAATGACAGAATTGCCAGCATAAATGTAAATGACTTTCTGTCAGTTAAGGATAAATGAGGGTGTAAAATATAACAACATAAAACATCATGCATATCTAAAGATACGCATCATCTGTTGTCACGTTGAATGTTTTACTGGATGTCTCAAACTACAGTAAACAGCCTGAGAAAGGTCGCACTTGCAACCTGGGAATATCACCTTTTTTGTTGCCGCAGGAAGTTCCATCAGCACCGTGGTGTTCATTACATCGTATCTGGTTCTCATTCCCAGTACTCTTGTAGCAGAACATGGAGGTACAGATGTCGCTGACGGTGCTGAATGATGGTCCCTGTCAAGATGAAGGTAGTTTAAATGGTCATGGAGTGAGAGAGTTAAGCTTTATACCGCTTCTAGCAATATTCCAGCAACATCACGGCGGGGGACACCAGAAATGGGCTTCACACATTGTACCCATGTGGGGAATCGAACCCTGCGTGACGAGCGAACGCTTTAAAGGTCACATAAACCCTAGGGGGGTAAAAATACATCAATCACTAACTGGCATCGTTATAAATGAAACCCCGTCATTAAAACTACTCATTTCGACCTTTAATTGACTTAAATCGACCTTTTTGACAACAGTGCACAATTCTCACCCGCGAACGAAATTTCAACCAATCAGAGCGGCGCGCGTCTGTGACGTCATATGAGGAATAGCTTTGAGGGCCGATGCAGAATTCATCTACATTTTAGGGGTTAAATTATCTTGTTTACAGGCTTGTATAAACCTGAAATCGTGACAGTTGTTGTGGAAAATAAAAGCTATATGTTCTCACAATCTACTGTCATTTAATTTTGTCTCCTGCTTTGCCTAGTTTCCGAGTTACAACTTGTTTTCATAGACGATTCTGTCAAAATCGATTGGTGTCGTTAGGCCCTATTTGTATAATGACTGATCCAAATCGATCCCATTTCTGTGTTTTTTTACCTCGATATTTAATCATGTCATGTTAAAATCTGTTTGTATTCTCAAAAAAGTGTCGGCCCATAAGTTTTCACATCCAATACAGCAATTAATACTCCCTTGTTGTAACCCGTGTTAGGTGGTATAAACCTACACATGTTATTTGTCATCATTCACTTGATGGTCAGTTAATGAATTTATAACAGGTATAATTAGTGGTAACACACTTAGATTACCCGACAAAGGTTCCCATTTGGCATTTCTTGTGTCTGGAGTAAATATTCAACATTATAAACATCGATCAAAGGATTAACCGATAACACGCTGATTGATTAATTACTTTTATCTCACACAGCGGAATTGTCAAAAGGTAGTGTTTATGTATGTAGATTTACTAATCTATACTGAATACACTCTGTCGTGTCGGTGTCTGCGTAAAACAACGTCCTTCTTTCAAAGGATTAACCGGCAATACATTGATTGATTGCCCATTATTGGCTAACTAAATTACTGTTTTTAAAGAAAGGCGGACATTATGCAATTAGTTGCCAGGTGTGCTATCTTGGGTGACCAATGAGACTATACACCAATACCTGAAAAGATTTATCACTTTTTCGTATATTAAACTGTTAAAAGACACATCATTTGGAACAGTTTTGTGGATATTGATGGATACATTCCTCGAACAAGGTAATGGCCTGATATTGTTCCTATAACTTTAATCTGTTTTAATTTTAATATTTGCATTTTGATTTTATTCATTTGTCGTAGCATTCAACAGAATCATTGTTTTCGCCGTGAAGTGTAATGAGTCAGACAACATGCACTAGGGTGTGTGTGCGAATTATGATTCACATTGGCAAACTATAAAATGTCTAGATATTACAGTTCTGTTATAAATTCACTATAAGTATCAGCAGATCGTCTTCTTTTTATTTAGTTTCAAAATGCATACAAGTATGATAATAAACTAATTAGGATTATAAGACCAAATATAAAGACGCACATTGACTAGTATCCACATACTGGTGAGTGGACATTAACCATGGGAATGTAGCAAGAAATTTATCGCGCAGTATTGTGACTTCGACCCCCACCTCGCTTCCGTGGAAGAAATCGTTATGTTATAAGTTGTGTCATGCAAAATCCGTTTGGTTATGATTCCAATACATATTTAACTACGAGTAGAAAGTAGTCTTGATTATCTAACTTGATGAAAACAAACTATAATCTCATTAATTCTAACAGATTTTTTTTTTATTTTTAAAAATGGCGGCGCCCTGTCGGGAACATCCGCCAGTCTGAGGATAAATGGTATTTAGGTTTGTTTTCACCGAGTTACAAAATCAAAACTACTTTCTACTGGTAGTAAAATATGTATTTTATTGATGGCCAATAGGATTTTGCATGACATAGCGTATAACATAACAATTTCTCTCGTGGCAGCGAGGTGGGTGTCAATATAATACTACTTACAATATTATTGTTACTTCGACCACAACCTCACTTCCGAGGAAGAAATCGTTATGTTACAAGTTGTGTCATAGAAAATCTTTATGGTCATCAATCATATGCATATTTTATAACAACTAGTAAGTAGTTTTGATTCTTTAACTTCAGTGAAGCGATCTGAACACAAGTAAGATATCGTTTCAGGCTTCCACAACGCTCGCTTCGCACTCACAAACATAACCGATTTAGCACGAACTGCGGGGTCCTGTGGAAATCTGTGCATGGGGACACCATCGTCCGACCCCTAGGAGCAATTGACGACAAAGCAACGATTCGGCATGTCATCGTTGATGTCGAGAAATCATCAAAATGATGAGCGTGCTACACATTTTCTATACAACTAACTGAAAATCGTTCCTCATATGACGTCACTGCAGTGCTCTGGCGACAGAGTTACGTAACCTGTCTGTGGTTTCGTTGGCGGGCGAGAGGGAAGCAGGCGACTATTTGGCCACTTTTAATCGCTCGGTATTAATTAACCACAAGTTTTTAAAGAATACATTTGGTGTTCCGCATAAGACTAACCTCAAATCTTTCATATGTAATGGTTAAAAGAGTAACAAAAAACAAAGTTTAGTGGTTCTTTAACCACTTGGTTACCCCACCGCCCTGGGTCATGGAACTCTTTGATCCGTGTATGAGATCAGTGTATATCATGGCCGGCGAACTTGAGAGGAAATCCCGAGCGTCTCATGTGAGACGATTACAGGTTGAAGAAACGAACGGGATTTAAACCCAGATTCACTGGATCCTGTTACGGCTCAGAGACGCAACTGCGTATAAGCCCATTCCTGGTGTCTCCTCCCGTGATATTGCTGGAATATTGCTAAAGACGGTGTTAAACTAAACTCACTCACGCACTCTTTAAATCTTTCGTAGATGCACAGTATTGCACACTCAGATTCACAAAAATGTTTTTTTCTGTTAGCGTACTTAGAAGTATAGCTCTTCCCCCAACACTCTAACTTTTATTGTTAACACGATTGCTAGACATCAGACGTACAGGTGGTTTGCTATACGCAAGTTTTAGGTTCACAGTGAAACCCCGTTAATCAAAACGCTACCGCCATCCCCCAAATAACGAGAATACTATTTGGACACGTGTGCGTAAATGATCACAATAGTAAGCGTCCGATTGCAAAGGTTCCGGACAAACGGGGGTTCCCTGTATCCATGTTGTATTTGACCTTACCTTACAGTAGTAAGACATTTGACCACCGATGTGTTTACATTGTTGATCGGGACTGAACAGTTGACCTGGAGCCGGACTGTTTACAGTCGGGACGCTTGGGGTATGATTCAACAAGCACGACTGTCTGCCTCTGAAACGAAAGGGGGTCAGTGAGTTGGCTGGTCTGTTGCCCTCTTTGAACAGTATTTCACACAATACGGCGGGATGAATACCCAAAATGATCCAGATCTTGGACGTTCACAACCCTTGAGCAAGGTGATGATAAACTGTAAATACATTCCAGGAGAATCAGAGTTTTAAACCTTGATGACAAGCTTCTTGGAAGCCCAAGAAACGATACTCGGCACAGTTTATTGAGGCGTCAAAGACGACTTGGGAACTTGTGTCGGCCGAAATGCCTTTTTAAAGACGCTTTATTTTCTCTCGATTTCTTTACAAACAACATCGTACAGCTGTAATACAGCTGAAGCAAATATATACTCATCATATAGTCACATTGGTACAATGTACTTCTTTGCTATGGATGTGGAAAGGGTTTTGTCGCTTCTATTATGAAAGAGAATCAGTGAGCGACGGTACTTTATCAGATCTTAGCTTCATCAGATCATGATGTGAGAGAAAGGCCGGAAAGTGAGTTTGGTCTCAGGTTCTTTGACCAGATCGCAAGAATGGATATATACTAAGCTGGGAACCAATGACCATAATCTGTGACAACCTGGTATTGGATTCCAAGATCATATGATAGTGACACAAGGGAAACAACTCGGCATATTCACTGATCAACATGGTCTAACTTACTGTTTCAATTTGTTTTCAAAGAAGTTTGCCATTTGTTGCATGGAGCAGCTTGAGAAGCGCCATGGGTTCGCTTTGGTCAGTTCTGTAGGCTCGACTGGTTGCCCGGCCATCAGGTAGCGGTCACGGGAACTACAGCTGGGATCGTCGTCCCCGTCATGGGTGGCGTTCATACTGGAAACAGACACATGTGGTGGTGCACATATTGTGAAGTTGTGGTGGGTTTAGCTTAACGCAGCTTTAATTATAATTCTAGCTTCCTCAAACTGTATCAGATTAATGTGGAAGTCATGCAGATATCGTACATCTACCAGCGATCACGAACGAGAAGAAACATTGGCGATTCGAACGGCATCGAACCCGGAATCATTAGGTTTCTTGTCAGTGGGAGTGGAAAGGTCGAGGTCGTGCAGCTTGTAAATGAAACCCACAGATGACAAATGTGGAGACATAATAAGGATAAATTCGAATCTTTGCACGGCCATTACTGCGCCTTGATGCCATGCATGGGTTTGAGATGAAGGTTGGATGGGGTTGCGATGATGGTAGGATGTGCTTGAAGTGATATTTGGGCGGTGTTTGAATGATGTTTGTAGGGGGTGGTAACGAGGGCTGTATGGGGTTGACATAAAGGTTGGATGGACGCCTGGTGGATGTGTAATTAAAGCTGGATGTGGGCGGCCTTTGAATGATGTTTGTAGGGGGTGGTAACGAGGGCTGTATGGGGTTGACATAAAGGTTGGATGGACGCCTGGTGGATGTGTAATTAAAGCTGGATGTGGGCGGTGTTTGAATGATGTTTGTAGGGGGTGGTAATGAGGACTGGGCGGGGTTGACATAAAGGTAGGATGGACGCCTGGTGGATGTGTAATTAAAGCTGGATGTGGGCGGTGTTTGAATGATGTTTGTAGGGGGTGGTAATGAGGACTGGGCGGGGTTGACATAAAGGTAGGATGGACGCCTGGTGGATGTGTAATTAAAGCTGATGTGGGCGGCGTTTGAATGATGTTTGTAGGGGGTGGTAATGAGGGCTGTATGGGGTTGACATAAAGGTTGGATGGACGCCTGATGGATGTGTAATTAAAGCTGGATGTGGTCGGCGTTTGAATGATGTTTGTAGGGGGTGGTAATGAGGGCTGTATGGGGTTGACATAAAGGTTTGCTGGTCGCCTGATGGATGTGTAATTAAAGCTGATGTGGGCGGCGTTTGAATGATGTTTGTAGGGGGTGGTAACGAGGGCTGTATGGGGTTGACATAAAGGTTGGATGGACGCCTGATGGATGTGTTATTAAAGCTGGATGTGGTCGGCGTTTGAATGATGTTTGTATGAGGTGGTAATGAGGGCTGTATGGGGTTGACATAAAGGTTGGCTGGTCGCCTGATGGATGTGTAATTAAAGCTGGATGTGGTCGGCGTTTGAATGATGTTTGTATGAGGTGGTAATGAGGGCTGTATGGGGTTGACATAAAGGTTGGATGGACGCCTGATGGATGTGTAATTAAAGCTGGATGTGGTCGGCGTTTGAATGATGTTTGTAGGGGGTGGTAATGAGGACTGGGCGGGGTTGACATAAAGGTGGGATGGACGTCTGGTGGATGTGTAATTAAAGCTGGATGTGGGTGGCCTTTGAATGATGTTTGTAGGGGGTGGTAATGAGGACTGGGTGGGCTTGACATAAAGGTTGGCTGAGGCCTGGTGGATGTGTAATTAAAGCTGGATGTGGGCGGCCTTTGAATGATGTTTGTAGGGGGTGGTAATGAGGACTGGGTGGGCTTGGCAAAAAGGCTGGATCGGCGCCTGGTGGATGTGTAATTAAAGCTGGATGTGGTCGGCGTTTGAATGATGTTTGTAGGGGGTGGTAATAAGGACTGGGTGGGGTTGACATAAAGGTTGGATGGACGCCTGATGGATGTGTTATTAAAGCTGGATGTGGGCGGTGTTTGAATGATGTTTGTAGGGGGTGGTAACGAGGGCTGTATGGGGTTGACATAAAGGTTGGCTGGTCGCCTGATGGATGTGTAATTAAAGCTGATGTGGGCGGTGTTTGAATGATGTTTGTAGGGGGTGGTAACGAGGGCTGTATGGGGTTGACATAAAGGTGGGATGGACGCCTGGTGGATGTGTAATTAAAGCTGATGTGGGCGGCGTTTGAATGATGTTTGTAGGGGGTGGTAACGAGGGCTGGGTGGGGTTGACATAAAGGTTGGATGGACGCCTGATGGATGTGTTATTAAAGCTGGATGTGGTCGGCGTTTGAATGATGTTTGTAGGGGGTGGTAATGAGGGCTGTATGGGGTTGACATAAAGGTGGGATGGACGCCTGATGGATGTGTTATTAAAGCTGGATGTGGGCGGCCTTTGAATGATGTTTGTATGGGGTGGTAATGAGGGCTGTATGGGGTTGACATAAAGGTTGGATGGACGCCTGATGGATGTGTAATTAAAGCTGGATGTGGTCGGCGTTTGAATGATGTTTGTAGGGGGTGGTAATGAGGGCTGTATGGGGTTGACATAAAGGTGGGATGGACGCCTGATGGATGTGTTATTAAAGCTGGATGTGGGCGGCCTTTGAATGATGTTTGTATGAGGTGGTAATGAGGGCTGTATGGGGTTGACATAAAGGTTGGATGGACGCCTGATGGATGTGTTATTAAAGCTGGATGTGGTCGGCGTTTGAATGATGTTTGTAGGGGGTGGTAATGAGGACTGGGCGGGGTTGACATATAGGCTGGATCGGCGCCTGGTGGATGTGTAATTAAAGCTGGATGTGGGCGGTGTTTGAATGATGTTTGTAGGGGGTGGTAATGAGGACTGGGTGGGGTTGACATAAAGGTTGGATGGACATCTGGTGGATGTGTAATTAAAGCTGGATGTGTACGGGAGGGGTGGGTGGGGTTGACAATGGTTGGAGGGGTGTGCGGGGTGACCAACCTGTGTGCCAACTCGTGGGTAGCCGAGTGGACACTTTGGAATCCTGCATGGTCCTCGACGACGGAGACGCTGCGACCACCTTCACACAACGTCCCAACAAATGCCTGACCTGAAGAACACAACTCCGGATGTAACAGTAGACTATGACGAATACCGATACACTCAAACCTCTGTCAGTCCCAGCACATATCACCATGCACAATTAATGCCATAAATCTTTAATGCAGGTATCATGACCAACCAACACAAGAACTTAGAAATACAGGATATTATACCTGACATAAACAACCAATAAACAATGAATTTGGCAAAGTTGTCCTTAAGACTAAACGATATTAGCTCTGACACCTTGCAAAAGGACGACTTGGGACACACGCGAGATGTGTCGCAAGGGAGATAACTCAGGTAGTTCATGTGCTGGATGACTCCAAACGATAACGAATGACTTATAAAATCATAAAATTAATCATCAATATTAGAAAGATAATAACTAATATCAGTTGAATCGAATACTCGACTATATAGGACAGGGATCTATTACGAAGACCTGTATATTTGATTAGGAGTGGTGGTTGGTCACACAAACACGTGCAGGCACCTAGTTGCGGGTATAGTAACGTGCAGTATAATTGGACAAAATACTGTGACTATGTGTCCCAGTCCACCCAGCTGCAAATGGGTACCTCGTAAGGATGAGGATGTCTGATAACTCGCTGCGCCTAACAGGCTGAATGTGTTGAATACTCCCCAGGGAGTTGAGTTGGTTAAAAGGATGCCAGACAAAAAGACATCCGTTTATAAAGGGAACATTCCAGCGCCTTGAGCATGTACTAGTTGCGCTATATAAATATCCTATAATATAATAATACTGCTACTACACTACCACCAATACCACTACTACTACTACTTCCTATCTGCTACTGTAACTACTACTACTACTGCTACTACTACTACCACTACTGCCTATCTGCTACTGTTACTAGATCTATGATAATGATACTAAAATACCTTTGGTGTATTTGAATAAGACGCCATTGTCGGTTCCCAGAATGTCATACCTGAAAGGAGAGTAGTTAAGTTCATTGTATTAAGGTAGCATCACACGAGTTTTACATCTGTTCGAAAAAACAAACCAAAAAGAAACCAACATTTAAATGGTGTGACCCAAGAGGTGACGGACACCGTTTGAAGACATCTTGTCTAACGATGTGACAGCGCGATTCATCTGTGCTGAAACAGTCCAGCAAGCATCATCTCTAATCTGAGTCGGATGGAGACGTCCAGCAGAGATGTTGTTGATGATGCACATGGAGTTGGCGCTGTGGTTTATGGTCGCTTTGAACAATAATTCCCGTATGTAAATGTCTGAATGTTGTAGGTATTAAGTGTAAAGACAGGTATTGAGGAACCGAAGATAATGATAGAGTCGGATATGGAACTGAAACCCCGATCCCAGGATCCTGGCACACCTAAGTGACGCAACTGAGCGATTCTGATGACACATGCCCCCACGTTGTATCTATGTCTATGTGTGACTGTTACGAGTCTAAAAATAAATTGATGAAAGAGTTACAATCAAATAATGCACTAATAATGCATAAAGTATGCACTATAAGAACACGTAATGAAAGGAAACTTTGTTTTTACATGCTTACCCGGTAAATAACATCACGTGATCATTCTCTGGAAGTGGATTCGAGGCCACGTAGTTTCGCAAAGCGTACAATGTACTGTTGGCATTTACATTATTTCTCATTGCAAACTGACTTGTGAGTTCGGCTGTTGGTGATGTTGCAGTCTACAATAGAAACAGACGATGCGTAGTTAGGACAAATGATGGGCCTTGTTGATCACTTAAACCCTATTTATCAGGACTCACTGCTCTCCAGACTGTCAAAGTTCAAAATGTCTTAAAAAACATCCCGAGGCCGGAAATGTTGTCCGGTTTAGACAGAGATCCGGATTAGGGATTTGTCAAAAAGGAGATAAAGAAGTGGAAAATACAGATTAGATTGAACGAGTTTACTCTGTGTAATACCGTGGAAAATTCGGAACCACTTATGCGGTTCGTCATTGACAGAAATTCGGAAAAGTCAGAATCCGGTTTGGGCAGATATTAGGGCATTAGTCTAACACATGTCTTAATTCGGAAATTGCTATTCCTGGTAAGAGCAAACTTTGCAACCACTGACATGATCATGTCTATCATGGTTTTAATTAACGATTACCTTGAACTTTCAGATAACGGGAACTAAATATGTTAATAACAGTTATTAAACGAAGTAGAAATGCGTATTTCTCTGCAATACGACTGCCATGTGACGGCACAGCCTCCAGGTCAGACAATCATGTGATTCCAGATCAGACAATCCAGTGACAATGATTCTGTGCTAGATAATCCATCTATGTCGAGTCCAGAAAGACAATTTAGTGACACAACAGACTCGACGGAATTTGTTGACGCTAAACACGTATGTCAACGTCGAATAGTTGATAGGATCAGAACTCCTAGATTTAAACTAAGTCTTAATTCATGATAAATTTGTATTCACATTCTACTAATTTCCTGACGAATCCGGATTAAATGATGTCATTGGTCCGCAGTATACTATCCCGCGTACGGCTGTATCTTGAGTAATTGAGTGGTCAGACTCGTATAATGGGGGGTTGCAATCGAGGGGTGATACCCATAACAGCAAGCATTGAGTAAGTCGTGCCTTCACTCAATGATTTTACAGACCGCTTTGATAAACCTGGAAAGTTGCGGTTTTAAACAAACAAACAAGGAAAACTTCATCGACTTACCTCAGAAATGATTATATCTACAATACTGACATTTATGTTGTAGGCTGAGATTGTGGCAAAGCGGACGTTCACCTACACGAAACAAAACAGACGATATTACCACCCATCTTAAGTTTGAGATCTCATGACCGTCTTTGTGTTTTTTCTACAAACAAACAACTATATAAAACATAACCAGCAGGGACCGGGATTCGAACCCACAGCCCTACGGTTCGTCTTTCAATAGTGAGTGAGGGCCGTAGGTGACGCTTGTCCCTTGTGATGAACTGACACACCAACTCTCTCTCACTTGGCGGAAAACATTCTAATACATGTCAAGGTTTAACATATAACTGAAAGTTTACAATGACCTATTACAATATGTTAAAAAACAATTTCTTTAAAACATACAAATGCATGTCAATGGAATATTTTATGGTTTAATTGTACATAAAACTGAACAACTAACAAAAATTCAAATATTTGTAAACCAACTAGACCAAATATGACATTCTATAAGCAATTGTTGGAAAGAACAAAGGCATTCGTGTAGTTTTAATTCAATAATCAAAACGAACTTTTCAAATACTATGACACAAAGAACAGTGCCTGGCTGCTGTGGAATCCAATGAAAATGAACATAAAATAAACGTCAGAATGTGTATGAATGAGTGAGTGAGTGAGGTGAGTTTGATGCCAATTTGAACAGTATTTCAGCTATATAATATCGTGTCAGCTTGGTGAGGGAAGAATGTCCCTTATGATGTCATTCCTGCACTCGATGTCTAAACCCCAATGATAAACAACTCGATGTCTAAACCCCAATGATAAACAAATCCCTTAACGATAAGAAAACACAACTGGGCATGACGATATGTTGCATCCGAAACCAAGTTGGTTTCAAACCCGGTTTGAAATGAAACTACAATTTCCCTGTTCAATACTGCATAAATGTAAAGGCTATTACGAAGAAAGAATTCAAAAGTAACTTACCCCTCTAAAAACTAGCCCTATATAAGTCTTTATAGCTGCTTTCGTCTGATCTATTGTTGCTGTTCGATTTACAACCGTGCGCCAACTGTTGATGACAATGAAACATTAAACCAATTAAACTATATCTAGAGTGAGTGAGTATGGCTTTACGCCGCTATTAACAATACAACACCAGAGAAGGGCTTCTCACATTGTATCCATCTGGGGAATCGAACCCAGTCCTTCGGTGTGTCAACGATGTTACGTTTTATATACGAACTTTGGTAAAAAACAAAGTATTCTTATGATGCCATTGAATTCGTTGTATTCGAAAAATGATTTTTTATCAGAAAAAAACATTATTATCAGTGGAAAAGGATATACTCACTGCAGTTAAAGATATACTCACTGCTGAAAAAGCTGATAATCTACTATGACTAAAACGTCAATCTTGTACTCGGGGGTTGTTTGCCGTCTGTGCCGTAATGAATGGCTATGATGTTGATTGTATTCTGAAATACAAATCAACAAATACCCATAAAAAAACTACGTTTGTATCGGCGGCGAAAAGAGTGTCTTCTAATTGAATATCTTCACATGTGTTCATAAACGTATAATATATAGCCAATTACTGTTACGTTATAAACATTGGCAGAATTAGTGTATGGATGTGTAAAGTAAAATATTGATTTATCGAGTTGTATTGAAAAATAAGGTTTTGTTTTTGAGAATATATATGGTCAAAATAACATACTAGGGTATTTACAGGCATACTTAGAAAACAGAAATGACATTATACGAATTCTACCTATTTTTTTAGTGTTGGAGCCTCCAACGAACGGAACTAGATGATGAAGGTGTCGGTAGGATGCACCACTTGACGCCGGGTTCAGACTATAAAGCTCGCCGCGATCCATTAGAAACCCTGACTGAAAATTGAAGACATAACTGTCAGTGAAATGTGTGTGTGAGAAAGGTTTTACGCCGCTTTGAGCAATATTCCAGCAATATCATGTACCCACGTGGAGAATCGAAACCGGGTCTTCGGCGTGACGAGCCAACGCTTTTACCACTAGGCTACCCCATCACGTCGTCAGTGAAATGATAGATAACAGAGAAGTACACCTTTGACAATGAAAGGGTAAAGCATGTATGATAGGTATGATGGAATTTCTATCATCATCATCATCATATTCATCATCATCATTAAACAGAGAATAACAACCACTAAATGCGCCCTTTTCGGGTTTGCGGTTAATCCCGGCACAGTCCGGCTGGTAAGTGTCTTAATTAGCTCAAGGCCCTTGACCACTCACACACGCAGTCAAGAAAGCGAAATCTTCAAGGAAGCGCTGGCTAGTTGAACCCACCAAGAACCTTTAGGAGAGTATCAGAAGGGCTGCAATCCTGGCAACTGCCTTTTCTTTTCTAACTCGAAAATTCAATCATCATATACTTCAAATGACTTAAGGCCATTCGTTTCACAAGAAAGGAGAGAAAAAAACAGGTTAGGAATAGATAAACTATTGACAAGTCAAGTTTGTTGGTATGGATCAGGCTGTTGCTGTATATGGAACTATTCCGCTGTATATGGAACTATTCCAAAGAAATATATTATTGTCATTTTCCAATACCAATTTTCCGTACCATGGACGGACGTCTGTATAACACCCGTAGCATAACAGTAAATATAGGACTCAGCCACGCTATCATGTCTCACAAGGTGTTGGTCAGGATAATTATATGCACTACATGATCTACATTTCATATTTACATTTAGATGCAAAATCACACATTTAAGGTTACGAGTGCTAAGTGAGATGTCCTGAGCAGCAATAAAAGCCTTCTTTGTAACTTTTAAGCCTTATTATCACACGTACTATACGATACAATGGTCTGGATCCTATCATGGAGCATCTGACGTCAAAGGAACTGGTTCGATGGACATCTTCGTAAGATTTCTGAAAAAACAACAACACAGTTTTAAAAACACCAGTGATACGATCTCACACGTGATAACCTAAATATGTTTTGTTCTCGAGAAATAACATGTAACATTTTGTTTCGTATTCAATGCCATCCAGTGTTTTCAGGAACTGCAAAAGTCCGTTATATTGTGAGCCACATCATACCGAGCCTGTTTCCGATATACCGCCGACACAGTCGAGTCACCCAGAACAATGGGAATCACGAGTACTGAGTAAATGGCTTTTCAAAATAAATCGAAAGCAACAGAAACATCTTTTAACAATTCATTCCTGTTTCACACGGGAACAACAGTTAAAAATATAATTATAATGACACCCATATATCATCTTAGGTCATGCTGGTATTAGTGAGTGGGTGAGTGAGTGTGTGATTGTCTGTGTGTAGGTCTCTGTGTGCGTATGCATATAATGTTTGATATAATATAGTGAGTTTCGGTGAAAGGTTAAATGGGGGCCAATGAGTGAACATATGAGACGGTGAATTGATGTGATTATGGGATTTTATTTGGATACCAGTTACAGCAGAAAAACGAGATATTTGTTATACTTTGCTATGAGAATAAGTGGACATTAAAAACGTGTTATAATTATGTCAATGTATTTTTATAGCAGACACTTGTACTAGTCTGAAGGGTAACTGTTCTTTACGAGAAATTTCAGGGACAGTTTGTTTAGATAAATTCCAGAAGATGTAGAAGATTATTTAAGTGAACCGTACCAGATAGTTATGTGACACGTATTTTCCATTGATAAATTGATTTCACGTGGATTAACAGTCTTATTCTCTGGTGTTGCTGAACATTAAATAAAACGCAGTAGCAGAACGTTTATGCAATTGCCAACAGTACAGTGCCCTTACATTCCAAATAATTCAGACCACCTCCGTGGTGTAGTGGTTAGAGCGTCCGCCCGGAGAGCGGAAGGTCGCGGGTTCGATCCCCGACCGCGTCATACCAAAAGACGTTACAATATGGTACTTGTTGGTCCCTGCCTGGCGCTAGGCATTAATGGGTACAGCAAGTACTGGTCGGCTCGGAGTCAGTATAATGTGTCTGAGTGGGGTATTCATGCTTCACTGCGGCGTGGTATCTCCGTGGGCTAGCACTATAGAACCAGCTTAAGTCTGGGCTAGTACAAGCAGCCGCACATACACATACACACGCATGCACGTCGTCATATGAGCGAAATATTCTCAAGCACGACGTTAAACCCAATTTCACCTCACCTCACCAAATAATTCAGATGCATATATCTATGTACTTAGGACATACAAGTTGAAAAACAGCGAGGACATTAATCTGTAAACACAAGGGACTATTACCCTGGAAATACAAAGGACATTAGTCTGTGAACACCAAGGGCAAGATTAGTCTGTAAATACATAGGCTATTCGTGTGTAAATTTTACGGGAACTACACTGTAGGTACAACGAACTTTACTCTGTAAAACATAGGACATTTGTTACTACAAAAGGCAATATTTTGTAAATACAAATGATATTACCCTGTAAATGGCATTACTCTGTTAATGTCTTTGAAACATATAGAGCATATGTCTGTAAATTCATCGACATTAGTCTTTATTACAAAAAACATTACTCTGTAAATATGAAAGACATTTCTCTATAAATTGTTTTTCATAATTCAACATTTATTAAACTGGACGATTTAAACGTAAACCTTATACGGATTAACGGGAGTTTACGTTGACAAACAATACAACCCAGAGAATGTCAATGGTTCCATCTGTATGTTGTGGGGGTTTTCAACACTACCAGCAACAATTACACAAGAGACTCAATGCGCTGGTATGACCCTTGAGAAGGTCCAAGTCCATATTTCCTTCTGGGTTGGCTGAGTGACTCAGGGAGTTATATTTAAATCAGTATGCAGGATTTAATGCCCGCGTAAATTCCCTTTGTCATATTTTCCGTAAACCGCACTTTTAGGTTAAACAGCGCTGATAACTAATAATTGTATTTGTATGTATATCGTGGTCAATAGTGAATTACGTCTTTGTTGTATGAGTGGGTGAGAGAGAGAGAGAGAGAGAGAGAGAGAGAGAGAGAGAGAGAGAGAGAGAGAGAGAGAGAGAGAGAGAGAGAGAGAGAGAGAGAGAGAGAGAGAGAGAGAGAGAGAGAGAGAGAGAGAGAGAGAGAGAGAGAGAGAGAGAGATTGACTCAGTGGGCATGAGACTGTCGACCAGAGTGACTGATAGATGGAACTATTGTTTTAGAGAAAATATATTTTCAGCCAGTGCTGCAAGACGAACATGTATTTCCTGTTCACAAAATATAATTTATTTCAACATTAATCATTTCTGCTTCATGAGCTTCCTACTTTCTAAACATAATGTCTGATACTCCAACCATCCTATCACCTTCCAAACCTCACCACCGGCATATAAAATCGCCCGCTGCTTGAGAGCTCTTGTAACTTTGAGTGAGTGAATAAGCGTGCAAGCGTGAGGGACAATGGCTAAGCCAAAGTTATAAACCAAGGATTGTAATAAATGCGATTTTGGGATTCGAACTTAGAATACACGGAGCCTAGGACGACCAAGGGACGCAACTCTGCATCATGCAACAGCGGTCCTCTGATGGTCTTTGAAGAACGTTGTGGGTGAGATACCAGTACGCAGAGATAGCAGTACATCATTAGTATCAATATGTAATTAGCCAAATCAATTGGATCTGATTTATGGATACAGAAGGTCGTGAGAGATTACTGCGTGACCGTCACACGGCGTTCAACCTTACTCAATAAATAACGTTGATAGCAGTGTTTGAGGTGTTCACTTGTTACCCAATAAATGTACATGTAGACAACAGCATGGGGCAAGGTACTGGTGAATTGCTTGTGTTGAAAATAATAGTTGTAATATTTGTCAATGTCTTATTTGGGCAGTTATATAAACGAAGCAAAATTATTGCGAGTTTAGTGAGTGAGTGAGTTTAGTTTTACGCCGAGCTCAGCAATATTCAAGCTATATGACGGTGGTCTGTAAATTATCGAGTCTGGACCAGACAATCCAGTGATCAACAACAAGAGCATCGATCTACGCAATTGGGATACGATGACATGTGTCAACCAAGTCAGCGAGCTGACCACCCGATCCCGTTTGTCGCCTCTTACGACAAACATGGGTTACTGAAGATCAAATCTAACCCGGATCTTCACAGGTTATTACGTGCTTAGAACTAACGCGTACGATACTCTAAAAAATAAGTTCTTCCGCAAATATTACAGACCCTCGATATTGCGATATCGACTTCACTCATTGCACCTAATTGTGGAATCGAAACAGATAAAAGCTAATCCCCCAACCCCACCCCAGCACCTGAAGGGTGATGTCATAGACGCATACAAAAGTATATCTTGTAAGGGATCTCACTTCCCCTGTGGAACACTGTGGGGGAGACGCGAGTTTCAGTTGCGGTTTCGTCTCGATTGGGGTGTCGCAATCTGACAAGACAGCGTAATCGATATTCGATATCAGTGACGTAGAACACTTCCGGCTCTGTTCTGATCCCTAAAACAGCTATCGAGTTGGATTTTGTTTTTTACTAAACTTCAATTGTAATCTAATTTAGGTTTATATGCCGATGCTGACTCTGAACTCAACGGAGCCTAGTACGACAAAGGGACGCAACTCTGTATGATGCAATACCGGTCCTCTGGTGATCTCTGAAGAAAGTTATGAGCATCGATCGTTGCACATGCATGACTGCATGCATTAAGGGTGTTACATGTTAACAGGAGAAAAAATACTTGATGATTACATTTAGGAATGGGCTATTTCAAGTTTTCCGACATTTAAACCCCCGAAGACACATTTATTTGCATATTGCAGGCTCACCCATTTTGTTGTTATCAGTTGCCAAAACGTGGAGACGAGTTGTCCATTTGCTTTTCTCTCCAGTAGAGGAATTGGAATAATGGTGTCTTGATGCGGCTCATGTCGCAGATGTAGATTTACCGATATGTTGCCACCTTGAATTTGAAGGTAAAGGTCATCTGCAAGGTGACAGGAACGTTGTTTCTCCTTGAGTGTAGACTGGACGGATATGCGGACGACTCTGACTGTGAAATATATATACATATATATAACCTTTCATATAGGCGGATCCAGAAATCAAGGGGGTGGTGTGTGTGTGTGTGTGTGTGTGTGTGTGTGTGTGTGTGTGTGTGTGTGTGTGTGTGTGTGTGTGTGTGTGTGTGTGTTTTCGAACCCTGAACCCACCACCACACCCCAGGATCAGCCACTACTTTCACACACAGGCCATCGTGTCTTTGCGTAGATGGAAGATTTAAAAAAATATATCGAAATGCTAGGTCATTATGTATTGTACTGTGTAGCATTTCGAGTCGGGGGTCATCTCAAAAAAATATCTTTTAATCTTTAATCTTCCCAAAAACACGAGGGCCTGTGCTTTCACATACATCATTGAAAAATATGCATTCTACAAAATCTCTTGGTACGACAAGTCGAAACTGATCAGAACTTTATGGGTGAGTGAGTTTAATTTAACGACGTTTGAAGCAATATTCCAGCAATATCAAGGCGGGGACACCAGAAATGGGCTTCACATATTGCACCCATATGGGGAATCGAACCCAGTTCTTCGGCGTGACGAGCGACCGCTTTGACCACAAGACTACCCCACCGCCCCTCAGTACTTTATGAAGGTGCCAAATGGTAGAGAGTACGTCACTAGGCCAGTTGCTTCTGATAATATACCATATGTTTTGTTGGTTTGTTATGAAGTAACGCATTCAGACAATCTTTAATTCATATCACCAAAGTAAGCGACTTTTGACAAACTGATTGCAACATGAATTTTTCAACGAGTTATGATGATTGCAATCCTTAGCTTTCTTTAAAGAACTTCAGCAGACAGGTCTTTTGCAAAGCAGAATATGAACATATTTTACCAGGCACGTAATGAGAAAATTAGTAAAACGCATGGCAATACATTCAATGAAATTTAGAGAGGATGCCATATATCGTCATGGGTTGTCAAGGCGGAATTAATAGGTCTGTGGTGATGCTGAGACTATTGGTTTCTGAGATTTTTACTAAGTGAGTGAGTGAGTTAAAATTTAACGTCACATCGGCAATATCTAAGCCATATCGTGACGAAGATTTTTACTGGCAAAAGTCACCTTAAGTGAATGAATTTTGAGTTATCTGCCCTTAGTTCATGTGTCTGGATAATTGAGATGTTTTGCACTCCTATCGTCACATTCTTGTGGATCCTCGTGAATTTGTGGCTACCTTCAGGTAACAGGGATTTCAGGTATCCCAGGTACAACCCCGGCGGAATTACATAGCGTCAGGAATAATAAATAGAGCGTATATAAAACGGCTCTCGGGCTTGTAGACTTGTAGACCTAGTGCAGCAGCAGCTGAACAGTGATTGTACCATCACCTATGTATTTTATAAAGTATTGTATAGACCCCAAGTTACATGTGACACATGTAACCCGTAACCTGATTGAGAATGCCATTAAATTGAAATATGCCTCGCTCGGATGTCCCCACTTCGAAATCATTCCCTTTCATCGAACCCGTATGAAATATTACTGAAGCGGAACATTTTGCTCACTCCAGGCCTTCATAAGTTGACGCAAATATAATGTATTTCCAAACCCCATTTTTATAACGATTCCCTTTCTTCTTTAGTGTCAAAGCTCTCAGTAATAGCTGCAAGAAACGTATGCCCTTGAGCTTGTAACTCACACATTCATCTTGCAACTTCTTTATTAAAACGAAACATTTAACGCCCTTCCATACAACGGTGTACCCAGTCTGACACGCCTTATGATACTCAGTCACACGGCGATAGAAAACTGCGAGCTATGACTCAGAAAACGGTTATCGTGATGTTCGCATCACGAGCTACTTATTTAAACATTCTGACTGAGGCCTATGTTAGCATATGAACTGTCGAGCAAAAGAAAAGTATGCGCCCTTGTTTGAGGTTAAAGCTTAAACAAACAAGAAAGGCTTTTTATATTGTGATGTACTTGATACACGTATCAAAAGGATCAAGGAATATTGTGTGCAATAATATTACATAGGTATCGATATTACATGCAGTGACATTACATTGGTGTCAGATATCGATATAACATGCAGCGATATTAGATTTAGGTCTTATGTATATCTATATTACATGCAGCGATATTACATGATATCAGGTATCAATATTACATGCAGCGTTATTACATAGGTATCAGGCATCGATATTAAATACAGAAATGCGACATACGTATCAGGTATCAATTATATTACATGCAGCGACATTACACAGGTATCAGGTACCGATAGTACATGCAGCGGTATGAACCTGGATGATCCAGGATGTAAGGCACCACAGTAAGCGCGCTTGTAATCTTTCTCAAAGTCAGTACACTCTAGGCGACACGATCGAAATGTTGACATCTCCTGTGTATATGATACGGACAACATCAATATTGTTATCTCGCTATCAATATTGATAATCTAGGGTCAATCAAAATCTTATCAACTTCGATGGAAAATGGATCTGGGTCATGGTGACTTGGTTGATTGCGGGTCACGGTGCCCCGTCATGATCATGCTCACAATATCAGTCACTTGTTTGCGTGACCCAAGAGGTGGTCGTCAGACAACAACAGATGCACAAACACGATTCAGGAACTACAATGAAGGACGTGACAAATGAACCTGTCCGCAGTTTGTATTAGCCCTATCATGCCGTTGATAACAAGAAAATACCCTCTTGCAGTGTAAATCCGTATTTGTTCTCGCACATAAAATTAGAATTATTTAAATGCGTAGCGAATTCGTAATAAACATCCTCACTGACTGTAGTGTTTCCGTCACGCATTCTGAAGTTCAGAATTATTGGTTACTCATATGAATTGGATTTGCGTGTAATTCGTCAACTAATTCTAACTAATTCATGCCTATGACATGCGTCATAAAAAACAATGGTTGAATATTTTGACATTACACGTAGGTTGCCTCGCCCCAAGACTGAAAGTTTGAAACTATAATAATTATTATATTTTTGTAATGAGCATTGAATATATATGTCAATAAGTAAAATGATACTACGATTTAACCTTTGTGCATTAAGGACACTGTCATACGCATTCGAGAGTGAGAGTGTTATGTAATAAGACAGGATGTGTTCACTCGCTGCCCGCGCATAATTATCTCACAGTCATGGAAAACTATGATCAATAATTAGACACATAACCCCACAAAACCCATTCCGTAATCACATATAAATGACACGATTCCTACTATGTGTATATATTATAAATAGTGTTATAACTATTTTATTGAATAATTTAGGATGAACACATACGATGTTTTGGATACATTGTATATAGTGTCTGTCGTCAATAACTGTACACCCATTGGAGTATGTCATGGGTTGTATGAAAAACAAATATATTATTTTGGATTGAAACAGATTGCGCCTTTTCTTTGGTAAAACGCTAAACCACCAACAACCACACATACCCTCCTCCCAATCCAATGAATGTGGTGTGTGTGTGATAGGGGATGTTCATGTGAGCAGAACTCGTATTTGAAGAAAACATGAGTGAGTGAGTGAGTGAGTAAGTTTAGTTTTACGCCGCTTTAAGCAATATTCCAGCAATATCACGGCGGGGGGACACCAGAATGGGCTTTACACATTGTACCCATGTGGGGAATCGAACCCGGTCTTCGGCGTGACGAGCGAACGCTTTAACCACTAGGCTACCCCACCGCCCCTAAGATTACATGACATACGTGATAGTAAGTATATTTCTATGCTGATGATCAGATTATCATCAGGTGCTATGATCAGATTACATATTGATAACGCAGTTGTCCAACATAAGGAAAAACGTTTTGTCTACAGAGTTTCCTGTTGCGCGTATCACATGACAACTACTTGACAGCATGGCGTGCTCTATTGATTCCTTGCTACTGGGGGTGGGTGGGGGAGCGGGGTGGCTCGATAAACCCATTATGTCCTGGATCGCTTGAAAGAATTACATTTATAGAGTACGTCATTACACAAGAATACTCAGACTTGACTACCCTCAGAGACAAATTCCGTTTGGTGTAAAGGTAAAAATAGCTGTGAAACTGTGAATCATAGTTTCCCCTAACATTTATTCACCGTGTATACACCAACGACGAAGGTGTTGCGTGACCATCTGGTCGTTCATGTCAACCAGGATCTTGGATTCTAGAAAGTTTAGTCACTAAGCCACACGGATATGTCACATTTCACAATTCACCGTCAACCGGATCTATACATGGCTGTCATTTATATTTGTTCCAAGAAATGTATAAATAAACCAAAAGGGAGGGGCAATATAAATTGATTCTGATCAATACCGACTAACCTGTCCTATCGTCATAATATATCTTCATAATAAATCATCCAGTACAAATTACAGATGTGTTTTAACAGTTAACAGAAACATATACAAACACCCATTTTCAATATACTATGAAACCGTTGAGAATGTTGTGATTGTACAATAATAGGTTGTCCCTGGTAAGATGGACATGAGTATATTGATGGGCATTGTTTGTCCAGCTCTTCAACACGGACATGGAACCAATAGTCGTCTTATCTGGTGTCTGTGTTCTAAGTAATTGACAAGGCTGACCTAGTCGTCTTAGGTGCAACAAGTCGCTCTGAAGAGCTGCGCCTCTTAGGCATGTCAGAAACCTTTGACGGTGGGTTCGAATCACAGATTTGCCCTCATCAAATAATGTCTGCGCCATACCGGGTTTGTGAGTTTCACCAGAGTTGTTTGTTTATTTGTTGTTTGACGCCGCGGTCATCATTAATTTCCAGTCTCGACCAGTTAATCCGGTGAACATTATTAGCATCGATCTAGATAGGTAGGATGCGATGACATGCATCAACCAAGTCAGACAGCCCGACAACCCGATCCCGTCCGTCGTCTTTTACTTAAAGGAAGTGATGTTGGAGACCAGGGCCCCGTTTCGCAAAACTCTCGTAAGCCTAACATCTCGTACTATTTCTCGTAGCATTCGTACCTCCTATGTTACAGTATGGGAGGTGCGAATGTTACCAGAAAGGCTGACGAGAGCTTTATGAAACGGGGCCCTGGTCTATAAGCCGGATCTTCACCCAAGTGGCATCCGCATACCACCTGCATCATTTCTAACTTTCCAGGCAAATGACGCTGACACGTAGTAATATAACTGAACATCTGCTCAACGGGGCATCAGAAGCAACTGACACGCTCATTCTGTAACTTCAACACGCAATACATGTTATACGAGGTTAAGCCAATATTGCCGCAGTTGTACAAATTGGCCCTTTTTAGGTCAACAGTTGTACTTTTAACAAACTGTTTCATCTGTGCTCCACTCACTATATTGTGTTTGTACGGTCAAATTTTAACCTGGCTGATTTCGTTCAATCGATCCGAATCTAGAGGTTCCGTTATTAATTCTACTATTCTTTATGACGTTGCTGCAAGAGCAAATTATTTGTTCCGAGTTACAAATACAATCAATCACCCGGATTCAAAATCGATCATGCATAATGGAATAAGAATGGCCGAAATCGATCATCGGCATTGTTAATCGAATACCCAAGAGAGTGATCAACCCTATGCATATAAACGCCTCTAAATATAATGAATAAAAAATATAACCACTCCTTAAGATATGTGTTGGCGAGATTTCATGCCCGTGCACATAAATAATAATCTATCACGAAGTCAAGTATACAGGCGTTGTAACTTGATAAGAAATTAATAATATTTTCTAAATAAGTGTAAACCACTTTTTGCTGTGAGTGCAAGATGACAAATATAACATATATACTCATGCCAATAATGGTTGTCACCTCCTTCAATTTTATTTATTGGAGAGGGTGTGGGTGTGTGTGGGGGTTTGGGGTTGGGAGGGGGTGACAACCATTATTGGCATGAGTATATTTTACATCTGAGATTACACATTCTTAGTAAAATACAGTTTAACTAGCAACCTAGATATATACAATATCCGAATCCGAATCTGTACTTTACAGAGAATAGTGCGTAATTAACGTGAACGTTTACTGTGTAACATATTTGTGGAGATACAGAACGCGGTTATTATCAACCACACCCAATGGCTAATAGGAAAGCCGTCATCGATCCCTAACAATATTTTCCAGCGGTGATCGGCTGTTTGATTTGAACAATGACGGTTACAAATCATAAATATTTGGGGGAGGGGGTGTATGTTTCTTAGTGAATACTGAACACAATTTGGTGAACATGCCCATTAAAAAAACAAGATCCCTCACTATAACATCATTCTATTATATTTGGAATCTCACTTTCTCATTTCTCTCTTCCTTGAACTTTTTTGTTCAGTAAATTAATTTGGGACGTTGAGTCCGAAATATCGTGCTCGTGGACGATAATATATTTTGTCGCAATGGCAGTCTGTCTGGATCGAGTAAGCCGTGCGTAAACACGATTCACAATGTATTACACGAGCAATAGTTTACTATAGACTCTGCCATATTTATATTAACCAAATCGGGAATGTGATAAATCGTAGCGTCTATTTAATCCTACACTGGTCCACAAAGACAAGATTATAGCAGGTACGTGCTTGTTTACTCTCACAGTCTCTGTGTTAATAATGTAACTGTAGATGTCTTTTGAACAGCGTGTTTCAATCACGTCGCACCTAAGACCACGACGAATTCTGTTCCCGGTAACTGCGATAGTGTTAGGGTAGACTCCAGACTCACCGAAGTCCCCGACATGATGTTGATATATTAATCAAACCCTCATAAACGTATTTTATAAAAGGGAACCAAAGGTATGTTAATTCCAGAACAGAGAGAATGTACATGGGAATGCAGAGGCTCAGGAATCGATATGAGAATGGGATGTTTGGACAAAAAACATGGTGCATGAATGAGTGAGTGAGTTATATTCCAGCAATATCACGGCGGTAGACACCAGAAGTGGGCTTTCATTGTGCCCATGAGGGGAATCGAACCGGCATGACGAGCGAACGCTTTAACCACTAGGCTACCCCACTGCCCAAATACATGAATGAGATACTAGAACTGAGAAATGGAGGATGTAACTCAAAAAGGGATAGGGAAGGTATGTTAGAGCTTTGAAAGGGATAGGAATGGGGTGCTGAGAAGGCGATATATATGGCCAGCTACAGTTAAACCGCTTTAAGGATTGAAATGGGTTACGAGTGCTGAGAAATGGATAGGAATACTATCGATGTGAGAGCTAAAGAGGGAGAGGAATGGCTCGCTAATCCTACGAAATCGATAGGAATGCTTTCCATGTGAGAGCTACATGGGGCTATGAATATGATGCTAAAGCTACGAAATCGATAGGAATGCTTTCCATGTGGCAGCTACACGGGGCAGTGAATGGGATGCTAGAGCTAAGAAATCGATAGGAATGCTTTCCATGTGGCAGCTACACGGGGCTATGAATGGGATGCTAGAGCTAAGAAATCGATAGGAATGCTTTCCATGTGGCAGCTACACGGGGCTATGAATGGGATGCTAAAGCTACGAAATGGATAGGAATGCTTTCCATGTAAGAGCTATATACACGGGGCTATGAATGGGATGCTAGAGCTACGAAATCGATAGGAATGCTTTCCATGTGGCAGCTACACGGGGCTATGAATGGGATGCTAGAGCTAAGAAATGGATAGGAATGCTATCGATGCGAGAGATAGAAATAGAGAGGAATGGGATGATGACAAATTGACATAAATGGTATGCTACAGCTAAAAAGGGATCAATATGAGTTGCAAGAGCTGAGAAATAGACAGTGAAATGAATCTCGCCAAACACACTCAAATTGTTGGATATTCAATATTTACGGAGTAGGGAATTGTTTGAATTTTTCATAACGAAACTTTGGTGTGACAGTCAAAAATCATCACACATTGTTCCCAAGTGTGCCATGCAATCGAACCCGGGGCTTCGGCGTTATGAGCGAACGCTTTTAACAAGGCTCCCTCCTCCAACCCTCCTCTCCAGAACCTCTGACAAGTTTGAGAAAACCCTAAACTGACTAAGGCCTTTCACATCTGTAGTAAGTATGGTTTGACGCCGGTTTTAGAATGATTCCAGCAATCATTGTTGGCTATTATATGGGCTTCACACATTGTACCCATGAGGGGGATCGAACCACTGGCATGACGAACGAGTTGTTGAGTTGAGTTGGGCTTTACGTCACATCGGCATTTTTCCAGCCATATAGTGACGCATGTATGACGAACGAACGCCTCAATCATCAGGATACCTCTCCCTCCGTTAAAGCAGTGAGGTGGCCTAGTGGTTAAGGCGTTCGCTCGTCACGCCGAAGACCCGGGTTCGATTCTCCACAGGGGTACTAGGTGTGAAGCTCATTTCTGGTATGCCCCGCTGTGATATTGGTGGAATATTGCTAAAAGCGGCGTTAACCAAACTCACTCACTCACTCTCCGCTCCTTTCACATTTGCAATTGCTACGTTGATGAGACCCGTTGAGTAGCTGTCAACTGCACATCCTGGATACGAACCCATGGATCCTGCATTCAAAACCGCAGAGAAAAAACAAGGAGCCATTGCTCCCCCGCGTCACTTATGTTCTGTTTGTTTCTGATAAGGATATTTACTCATTTACTCCGAGACAATATTAGCCCGTGAGTCACCATGGGTGTGATTGATCAGACGGTGAAAAAACAAGTAGCGATAGCTTCGGGACATTATTGTCACGTTGGTCTGTGTTCTATATTGATGATCCACCACGTCGGCAGACACGACTACGACTGTGACGCCATTCTGTAATGTCATATCAGTCAGTAGATTACAGTCCATATGGGGGTGTCGGGGTAGCCTTGTAGTTAAATGGTTCGCTCGTCACACTGAAGATCCGGGTTCGATTCCCCACATGGGTACAATGTGTGAAGCCAATTTCTGGTGTCCCCCGCTGTGATATTGCTATAATATTGCTGAAAGCGGCGTAAAACTGAACTCACTCACTCACTACAGTCCATATGTTATTTCCGTTTATTTATCTGTAGATCAGTTTCATCAATATTGTTTTCATGATGAACAAAACACAAGTTTGCGTCCATGCGGAACCAAATACTAGTATGCAGGGTTGTAGAGCTACTACTATCCATGAGTATATAATATTAGTGTTTATGATACATTAGTATATGCATGAGTGGGAGAGCATATGTATTTCTTGAGATGCCGCAATCAGGATTCGTAACAGTAAACAGGCTGTTGCACACTATAATAAAGCATTATTCTTTGCTATCATCCACTTACAGTCTGTAGCTGTACTTGACGACACAGTAGCGATTATATGTATTACGTTAATAATAATCATCATCATCCATCTGATCAGAATACCAACAGTCATACCACGTGCCAATGCATCGCAGTCAGCGAACTTAAACGATTGTATGTACCTTAGTCTATTAATAGCTATATGGCGGCGGTCTGTAAATAATCGAGTCTGGACCAGACAATACAGTGATCAACAGCATGAGCATCGATCTGCGCAATTGGGAACCGATGACGTGTCAACCAAGCCAGCGAGCCCGACCACCCGATCCCGTTAGTCGCCTCTTACCACAAGCATGGGTTACTGAAGGTTCATTCTAACCCGGACCTTCACGGGTCTTACATACGTGTAAATATTACGAGACCTAAGTTGTGATAAAGTTTACCTTATTCTTTCAATGTGAATAAAAATGCTTCAAGTGAATTGAACCAGAACTGTCGTGTGATATCAGATATTCAAATCAAGGTCACAGGTCAGACGCAAGGAAACCCCTAACCTGTGTTTATATTGATCAACAACAGACACACGCGAGCCATAGTGTGTGTTTACAGTCCGATCAATGAAAAGTAAATGCTTGAAATGATTACAACAGGTGTACATCCCTACCTGGTTGTTGTGATTCAGCAGGTAATACAGGTGATATAAACAAACATATGAGTACAGGTAGAGTGGTCAGTTCTTTCATCGCGTCCGGTCCGGCTCACTTCCTGGTGAGTGCTTGTTCTGTTCGTCAGCTGGCGGGAGTCGGTCGCGAGCCGTCCTCCGTGGGGTATGGGGTGATAGTGAGTGAAGATAGATAACACAACCGCTCTTGAGCACGGGAGCGTGACATTAGAACACAGATTGTTCCCGGGGCCGACACTCAATCCCCTTCATTACTTCATCTTCAGATATTTTGTGAATCTTTATACAGGTGTTCCTCTAACCTGAATGACGCGGCATTTCTCAAGACAAGTGACGTATATTTACCCAGCAGGGGAGACAACCCGTGTTGTCAATAAGGGTAGTGCATATATATGCAGGGCGTTTGCAAGTCGTGATCGGGATAAGCCTGTCCATGAGGTCGATATCTGAATGAGTCTTTTACCACAAATAGACGTTAGAGTTCCCGTTGAAAGATCAAGTCGTGCCGACTATGTTTACAAAAGCAAAAGGCGCAAGTCGTACGGCAATACTGAAAGCTTCGTATAGAGAGTTCAGGTAGCACGATAAAAGACCACTGAAAATGACGCGGAGAGAAGCGACAGGCAGAAAGTTTATATATCATAATCTGATCTTTTCAACTGTTAGGGGCTGTATTACAACAGGCGGTGACATAAATATGCATGACTGTTTGAGCTACACCTTTATGGACAAAGCTGTGGCAATTGTCAGGCTGTTTGGTGTCAGTGTGTAAATCACAATTTAAAATCATTTAGTATAAGCACGTTTCTACACGATCTAAGCATGGAGTCTGAGTGAATGAATGTTGTTTTGTGCTGCAGTACATCGGGACTGTACATGGGGCACAAAATGCAATCGTAATAAGTATGGTCCGAGTCATGCAACCTTCTTTGCATTCTTAATTTAATATTAAAGAAACAAGAGGGAATATTACTCAAATACAGATCCGAATACCACTTTAAACTAGGGATGGATATCATAGAGTTCGATAATCGTTAACTAAATATCGATTGATTATCGATGCATATCGGAGACGTAACTTTGAGCAAAAATGTTACAAATGTCTAAAAGAATATATTTCATATCACTGGTGAGTGGTGATATTTTAGCCTTGCACAAGTCTCTAAGGTAAAAATTATTAGTTTAAATGATAATTTCAAAAAATAATAAATAACAGACTTGTGTCCTTTGACTGTCCACTTATTTAGACTTGCCTCCTCGGGGGTTAGATTGCTGTACATCAATGGGTTCAGCGTTCAGTGCAGCCTTGGAGCAAGGCTAGTGGTTTGTTTGCGTGGACCATTAACACAACAGCGCCCTGAACATGGTTTAGAAGCAGACCATGACTAAAGTCCTACATTTGTAGTGTTTTTTCTATTACAAAAGTTAATGTACGATACTAAATATAACTCAGTTTTCATATCGATGATCATAAATCTTTCCTATCAACAATATTTCCGATTATCGTTCATATGAGCCAGCCCTACCTTAAACAACAATAGTAAAAACCCAAGGATTGATGCTGGCGTCTTACCAGGATCACAGGCTTCAAGTAGGTCTAAGTGGTGGAACTCTGCGATGCCTAAACTGGCTGGGTCACCCGTAAAGATCCCAGTTAGGATTAATTTTAACCAACCCATGCTTGCCGTAAGAGGCGACTAACGTGATCGGGTGGCAAGGCTCACTGACTTGGTTGACACAAGTCATTGTATCCCATTTGCGTAGATCGATGTTCATGATTTCAATCACTGGACTGTCCCGTCTAGGTCCAGAACTAGCTGGTTGTAGAGAACAATATAACACTAATTATATGAGCAATATTACATGACTAAGTATTCAACCTTTCCACTAAGGGGAAAAGATGATATTCTCTTTTTGAAATGTCACACACATTCATTATTTAGCAGTAATTATAACTTGGTAATATTAAGGCAGAATAGGTCTCAACATGCCAAAGATTGAAAGACATCCAACCACTGAATTAATCACAATGTGTCACCAGATTGGTATTTCTGTTGCTCGTGATATCAACCACACGCCTGTCAGGCCAATATTTAATTCTTACAGGCCGCCATGAAAGAATATAGAATATCTCCAACCCTATCTGGCAAAAATAAGTATTCATTCATGTGCGTTTCAAAATTCAGAGCAAATCCAGTCTGATATAGTATTTTCGCGATATAGTTTGCTACTTGTGGTATTTGTATGTTCCTTAAAATGACAGACCCTACATGTCTATGGTTATTTCTGTGTGATTAGAAGGTCATTTCATTACACTCTCACCACCAGCCGATATATTTGATCTCGAGGGTGAGATTCCATTTTTTAAAGAAAACCCTCAATCACGCATATGTTGAAGGACGCAACTCTGCACAGCGAACTGCACACGATTGGTCCGTCTTGCCCTCTCCCCACACTTCAGGTGAACGAATATTAAAATGACGGAGACAAAGATCTGTACATAATTATAAGAAGGCCATTGCACCATCCGACCATGCAATGATGATACTCAATGTTTTCGAAAAGTGTAGACCAGTGAAGGTCTTCAGTAATCCATGCTTGTCGTAAGAGGCTACCCGCGAAGGTCCGGGTTAGAATGAGCCTTCAGTAACCCATGATTGTCGTAAGCGGCGACCAACGGGATCGGGTGGTCAGGCTCGCTGATTTGGTTTACAAATGTCATCGGTTCCCAATTGCGCAGATCGATGCTCACGCTGTTGATCACTGGACTGTCTGGTCCAGTCTCGATTATTTACAGACCGCCGCCATATAGCTGGAATATTGCTGAGTACGGTGTAAAACTAAACTCACTCACTCACTCGAAAAGGGTAGCGCATCCTGCCGCACAGGTGGTACCGGGGGACAAGACAGTAAGTTATAGCCATCAGTGAATTACAGGTCTGTACGCTATAGACGTAGTTTACCGGGACAATACAGACAAAGCTAAATCCTAAAAGGCAATGTATAAAACTTTAACGCCAACAAATAATTCTCCTCGGTTAATGTGGAAAGACATTCTGTGGCGCACAAAAGGGATAAGATTGATTAACTTTAAAAACTGATCACTGAAAATCAGTGGTGGCATCTTAGTCCCATAAACAAGTAATAATATGCAACTGCATCTTAAATAATATTTCATGTTCACCAGAAAACTTTCAAGATCATTTCGTAAGGAATGGTGTTTTGTGATCCTGTTCAAAACAAAGGATGCAACTCGCATGATGCCAAAAGGTTAACTGTGTCCAAATATATTCTCGCTGCAAGCTCAGTTACAATTTGTTGCGTATAATGCGCTCATTTGTATCAGCTGAGACAATAAACATGCATGCAAAGTAATTAGAGAAACATATTCAACAGGATATGTCTTTTTCGTGAATGTTTCAACTTCTAATGTTACTTTTTAAATGACAGTTAAGACAAATCTATTTAAACAGAACAATACATCTTTCTAAACAGTATGTCAAAGTCATAGGTTTTTGTCCTATCACGCCATGAGGAGAAATTCATGAAATGATGAATCCTCCTTGACAAAGACAGACATACGAAAGGATAGCTTTATCTCTGCATCATATTTCAGCCAAAGTTTACTAGTGATGAATATCAGAACAAAGAGGAACCATGCACATACTCCGACCCCACTTCCTCATTGAGTGGCTACTTCAGATGAAACCTAACAATGTCGAATGCACGATTTCCTCGTAAACAGCGTGGGTCGAAAGGTCAAAATGCTTTAAGTCTTAACTTTCAAAAACAAAAACAAAACAAAAAAAACCAAAATCATATCATGCGTTGAAGAGACTGTCACGACGAAAGTATGATTTTCAAGCCATGTCATGGCGATGAAGCCCATGAATTGACCAGAAGATTACTTTGCATACACATGTATACCATTATAATCACTTACTGAATGATGAATCGAATATATTTAGCATTATTGTTCAGGCAGAATCTGTGTGAGAAATTAAGTAAACTACACATGTATCAAATATGGAAATATTTAGATTGTCTTTATAAAGTTCTAACTTACTCCTTTAATATTGTACCATTCCTTCGTATATTTGTTCAGATGGTGAGATCTAAAAGAACATATCAGTTGTACAGTCAGTTTGATTTCATTTGAGACCGATGAATTGCTCTGTCACTAACACAAAATATGATAATTGCAACAAAACCAAATTTTGCACATGAACTCGACAGACCAACTCTGATGATTTGTCTCATCCCGAATAAAAAAGTTGTTTAACAAACGTTCGTTATTTTCAGCGAGACGTGCGAGTTGCACGTGTGAAATTGAAATTTCACTACACACGCTTGTTAATTACAAAAATATCAAAAAGCAAACTGTATGACTGACTGACTGACTGACTGAGTTTAGTTTTACGCCGCTTTTAGCAATATTCCAGCAACATCAAGGCGGGGGGACACCAGAAATGGGCTTCACACATTGTACCCATGTGGGGATTCGAACCCGGGTTTTCGGCGTGACGAGCCAACGCTTTAACCATTAGGCTACCCCACCGCCCCTAAAATAATGGTCGTTTGTTAAACAACTTTAAGACTGGTACCCAACATGACGTCATAGATCAGAGTGAGTAAGTGAGTGAGTATGGTTTTACGCCGCGTTTAGTAATATCCCAGCAATATCACGGCGGGGGACACCAGTAATTGACTTCAAACATTGTATCCATGTGGGGAATCGAACCCGGGCCTTCGGCGTGACGAGCGAACGCCTTAACCACTAGGCTACCCAACCGCCTCAGGCAGGGATACAACAATCAGACATGTTGGTCTGACGCGACAGGGGATCGAACTACCGACTTTCCTCTCCACAGGCGGACGCTCTGTCCACTGCACCAGGAGGCGATGTTGGTTTTCTGCGACAGCTAAGTGAAGGCTATGGTTGACTTTCACTCCATAATACTATGACACAGAGCTACAGCAGCTGAGTGACTGTATCGAGGAAATACGTCAAATACAGCCCTGTTTGGGTGTGTCATGGCTCCAGTGCATTTAACCTGCGTGATACGTGATATGTGTCATTGAGTACAACTGCAGAGTGTGGCTATGGAGTTACCTCCCCCTGCCAATGACCTTCCTGGCTCAGAAATCTTTGACCCTTTGAGGGAGGGTACTATCCAGATAATGCTTATGTCATTGTGCCCGTATTTTTAATTATGTTTGTTAATTTCTTTTTTGTGCTTGCATATAAAATCCAAACATGATTTCGTTTCCTTCACATCGATGTTTACAGTTAAAACAGTCAGTTCCACAGTCCGCTTGTCTAGAATTCTG